CCCTAATGTACATACATATATCCATAAAGTATATATATACTTGATCTGGGTCACTAGCCGAGTCGATCTAGCCATGCCCGTCTGTCTGTCCGTCTGTCTGTCTGTCTGTCCGTATGAACGCTGAGATCTCAGAAACTACAAAAGCTAGAAAGTTGAGATTTCCCACACATATTCTTAAGCTTCCTACGCAGCAAAAGTTTATTTCAGCCAAAGGCACGCCCCCTCTAACGCCCACGATCGCCCACTAACCATTTTAAAATGTGTCTGGCGCCCACACCTTTAAAGATTTCCGAGAAGTACAAATTCTATATTTTGTGTATATTTATACCTATCGAAATGTCGAAGACATTTTTTAGATGGGACCATTCATTAAAAAGTTATGCGCAAATCAATATTTTATATATCTATCTCCCTCGCACTCAATTTAGCTGAGTGACAGGTATTAGATAGTCGGGACACCAACCCGACTCTTGTTTTCTCAATTATTCCCTGGCCCACGGAAAAAAAACATTAAAAAAGGAATTATTGAAATTACATTTGTATTTGTAAACATTTTAAACTTTTCAGCCAGGCTTTTTGCACTTGCACTAGTTATAACCGTTACTCGTAGAGTAAAAGGTTATATTGTATTTGTCCAAAAGTATGTAACAGGGAGTTGCTAGCGTTTCCGACCCTATAAAGTATATATATTCTGATCAGGATCATTAGCAGGGTGGATTTAGCCATGTCCGCCTTTCCGTCTGTCTGTCTGTCCGTCTGTATGAACGCTGAGATCTCGGAAACTACAAATTCTAGAATGTTGGGACTAACAACACATACATTCTCTTGGGCTTCCTACGCAGCGCAAATTTGTTTCATCCGCACTCTTACGCCACGTGCACTTGTACGCCCACAGTCACTTTAAAGGACTTTAAAAAAGCCCTGCGCCCACATCTTTACCAAAATCTGTAAAGAAAGTTTAAATCCCATGTCTTGTGTTTATTAATACCTCTCGAAATTTAGAAGAATATTTGAAAATCGAAATAAAATATTAAAAAGTTATAAGCAAAAAAAAATAAATGGCCGCTAAAAGGAGCCAGTAGCTTTGACGGCTGCATATCTGCATCTCCCTCGCAATTCCTTTAGCTTAGTAACGGGTATCTGCTAGTCGAAGTACTCGATAAAAAATCATTTTTCCAAATTTGAGAAACTTTTTTATTAAATTCTATTTCTATGGTCTTTTGTTCCTATATTCAAGAAAACAATTACTGAAATTCAGAAAATAAAATATAGGAAAACAATGTTTATTAAGTGTATACTTAAGGACTAAAAATATAATTACAATTAAATGCTTTTTAAGTGGTTACAGTTTGTATACCCTTTCAGACAATTATTATTTTACTGAAAACACAAATCGGATTTCTTAAACCGAAGTCCCGATAAACTATTCAACAAAATAAATTCAATATTTCCTAGAAATTTTTCTTTTTCTTTTGAAATAGACTCACTAATAAGTGAATCCGGGACTTACTGAAACCTCCTTATTTTAGTCCGCTCTTAGTCTGCCCGGTCGTGGCAAATCTATAAAGATTAAACCATAATTATTAGTCGCGTGGATCGATAGCCATCCGGATATTTACAATATAGTCTTGGTTGCGCGTGATAATAGAACTCGAGGCTTAAAGGTCTCTGCTGTACAATGATAATGCGACCCATAATAATGTGTCATGATGAAGTTTAGTTAGGACGGAAGTTTCCCCTGATTATGTCGCCGTCTAGGGTCTACGTCTATCCTATACCAACAGTCAACGTACTTTCCCCATATGTGCCAGGACGGAATTCGAGCGCGTACTCGTGTAAAATTTCCTAATTAATCTAAATATGAATATAACGTCCTGCGCTTATCTCATGTGTGTACTCTAATGACGTACAGTCAGGTAGTTTCTATGCAACTAGCAGCTTCTGGCATTCCATGAATGAAATCACATTTACTGGCAAAGCGGTTTATATATCTAATTATTTTATAACTTCCTTTCTTTCCATTTATGAGTGCCGCATTGTTTTAGGTAGGTTGCATTTTACGACCAGTCGGCTGTGAGACGATTGCGTGGAAATACCGGCGCTCATTACTTAACGAATCTACTGGGGAAATTCCCCGGCGGCTGCAAGCCCAAGTCCCAGCCTACGCAAATAAGCTCGTGGATTTATATAGCCTCACCACCCCTCAAACCAACCCAGCCAACTACCTACCTGACACCACTGAGACGTTTATCCGTCCACCCATCGATCCACCCAGATCGCTGGCACTACTCACGGCAATCCCAGTTTATGAATGAATCCTTTAAAATGAGCTGAGTCTTGAATGAAATGTTCTCTGCGGCCTGCGTTCTATGGCAGGTACTACCAACCTACCTAACCCACGCAACCCAACCAAGCCGTTGCATTCATTAGCATTGGCAGAACAATGAAGTTGGACATAGTCCAAATGATTTCACTTTTGTTTTAAATGACAGGACGGAAGGCTTAAGGCGCTACGGTTGACTATCTTATAGGAAGTAAAACGTTGTGGTTAAAAACAGTTAGTGTTGCTACTAGACCAGATAGCACAAAAAAATTTCACAATAATGATACTTGTTAAACATTATAATTCCTGTCTATTTATGTCCTTGTGAACATGTCGTTAATTAACTGGAAGAGGGATACATTTAAAAAAGATTTCGAGATTGAAGCATTTCAATTTTCAAGGTCCATATGTACAATATGTTTTCCTTATACATATGTCCTCCAGCGAAGCGACCATAATACAAAAAACCAGTCAAAAATTGTGTGTTTTAACTTATTCACTCTTCTAGTAAATCAACGATATTTAAATAAATTTGTTGTACCAATAGATTCGATAGCTTTATTTAGTTTTCGATTCACTAAGTGATTATATTTTTGTACCCTTGCAGAGGGTATTATAATTTCAGTCAAAAGTTTGCAACGCAGTGAAGGTGACGTTTCCGACCACATAAAGTATATATATTCTTGATCAGCACCAAAGCCGAGTCCATCTACAATTTCCGTCAGTCCGTTTCTATTCGAACTAATCTCTCAGTTTTAAAGCTATCGCGATGAAACTTTCCCAAAAGTCTTCTTTCTATTGTACATATATCGGAACGACCCGGATCGGACCACTATATCGTATGGCTCCCCTAGGAATAATCAAAAAAACAAGAAAGGAAGTTAACTTCGGCCAGCCGAAGTTTATATACCCTTGCAGGTATGCCTACTTAAAATGTTGTTTTTGCATTGTCAAAAATCAATACGTCTACTTTCTACAAAGTTACAACAGTTTTTCTATTATTTTTTTGATTATTTCTATGGGAGCCATAAGATATAGTGGTCGATTCCGGCTTGTTCCGACATATGTACTACCTGCAAAAGAAAGAAGACTTTTGGGAAAGTTTCATCGCGATAGCTTTAAAACTGAGGGACTAACTCGGCTATTGATGCTGATCAAGAATATATATACTTTATGTACTTATATACCTTATGTACCCTCTGCAAGGGTATAATAATAGAAAAAACATTGTAACTTTGTAGGAAGTGGGCCATTTGATTTTTGACAATTTAAAAACATTGCCTGCAAGGGTATATAAACTTCAGATGGTCGAAGCTAACTTCCTTTCTTGTTTTGATTAGCATTGCAATCCGTCATCCGTTTACATTCCCATTCACTAATAGAAACATAAGAGTTAAACAAATGTGATTATGAATTTTTCACTGCATCAGATTTTTAAATATTGCCCAAGAGACAAAATTTACAACACGCCTATGGAAAAGAAAATATACATTTTTTTCTGATAAATCCAAAATGATTCATGATTTTAAAACACTGTTACCAAACTGCGAGTCTGTATTTTTCCTGTTTCGAAGACATGTGTGACATGGTTACGTTAATAAAGAATCAAATTACAGTCAAATACAAATCGTATACTGAATTATAACATTAAGCAAAGCAACGCACATTCATATTCTTCCATTATCCATTGTTTTTTGTATCTTTTTCTCCTTATCTGCAGCGCTCATCGCGTTAAAGCAAACGCCCACTGGAGGAAGTAAAGTTTTTCTTGAGCATCCCCCAAACATGAAGTTAAGGCCAACTGTACCATCTGAACTACACGCTCAAACCTTTATCGCCAGCCCCCGAGTGTCAGGCCCATACCCCATTGCTGCGAGTGCTGCCCGGTTCCTTGGCCCACACTTTGCATATTTGGAACATCGCGGACCCACCCTCGACGATAGCACTTAATTCAATAATAAATTGCCGCCGCAGCGAGCCCAGGATAACCAAACCGCAGATAACCGAGTTACACATTCGGCAGAGTATCTGTATTTGGGAGGAGGTCAGGAGGAGGGAACCGGGAACCAGAATGGTATTGTTATGGGAAAAGGGAAGGAAAAGGGAAGGGGGGCCAAAGCCAAGCCCTAAGACAACCACCCAGGAGGCGCTGGGGGTTTGTTGGTGGGTAAGCGTAAAATTCATAATCGTGAATGCTTTACTTAAAGTTGCGCCCAAATCTGAAGCCACCCCGCCGGAATCGCCTGGGCCAAATAAATATAGTACTAGCATGGGATATACACACAAGTGGTGGTTCGAGTGTAAAAAGCGCAAGTTAAGGAAGATGCCCCGCCACTCGAGCGGATTATTCGATTTTCCCGGCGAAAAACTACGCAGGACTACACGCACACGCCGGACCCTTATGTACTTCCGCTGCGAGTGTGTGCGTGAGCATGCCGCCATTGTTGGGCAGGCGAAACCGAAACCGAAACCAAAAACGAATCAAGAACACAAACCCACCCCGGAGCATTCCTCTCGCTCGCACATCTCCAGACAGACAACAAATCGATGAATGAAGCGACCCTCGGTGTGCGTGTGCGTAAGCGCAGGACTGTGTGTAGGTAGCGTAGGTAGGCGGAATCCTGGGTTTAAATTGAGAGGCGTCAGGGCAGGAGAGCTCAGTTCGAGTCGAGATCTCGCAGCGCACACAGCTCGCCCAGACAGCCCAGACCCAGCTGATACACAAGTGTTCCACCCAAGTGCTCCAGTGCCGCGAGAGAGCCTTTAGTCCTTTCACCGAAACAGCAAAATAGCGAAATGTCGACGATTAACCTGCATCCCCCCCAAACATACTCGCGCCTTTTCCGTCCTTGGGATACGCAGCGCCAGGCAGCCGCCTCAGCGCCCAGGACGGTGAAGCAGGAGACCGAGACCATCACCATCAAGACGGAGCTGCCCAGTACCAGTTTCGTCCACGACTGCGACCGGGACTTCTCGTCCGCCTCCTCCTCGTCGTCGAGCAGCAGCAATAGCAGCAAATCCTGCTACGAGGACCCCCTGAACCACAGCAGCTACACCCGCACCTCCACCCCGCTGCTGGATGCCACTCCGAATCCCGTCTTTCCCCACCCCCCACCCGTCGCCCTCGGACCAGACCACCGCCAGCAATGTCTCGTTGGCGCCGCCGCAGCAGCTCGCTCCGTTTCTGCCGGCCGGCGATCTCTACTACGCCGCCGCCGCCGCAGCTGCCGCCGTTGCCACCACGCCCACGGCTTCCTCCGGCTTCGGGATGGATCCCTTCACGCTGGGCCTGATGGAGCAGGAGTACGCCCGTGTCATGGCCGAGGACGCGCAGCTCAAGGCGCTCAACGCCCGCAAGCAGCGCCCGAAGAAGTTCAAGTGCCCCCACTGCGACGTGGCCTTCTCCAACAACGGCCAGCTGAAAGGCCACATCCGCATCCACACCGGTAAGTCGATCAGGGGAGGTCCACTCTCGGCAGCCATACTTACGATCCCCCTTCTACCCTTGCAGGCGAACGCCCCTTCAAGTGCGACGTGGACACCTGCGGCAAGACCTTCACGAGAAACGAGGAGCTGACGCGCCACAAGCGAATCCACACAGGACTGCGACCGTATCCTTGCAGTGCCTGCGGGAAGAAGTTCGGGCGCCGCGACCACCTGAAGAAGCACATGAAGACGCACATGCCGCAGGAGCGCCAGCTGGGCCCGGCCATCTTCGTACCCATGTATCCCTACCTATATGGCTACTGAAGGGCAACCCTGGCTCCTGGCTCCATCGCCTTCCGCCCCTCCTGCGATCTGTGAAGCGCTTGCACGCGTTAAACAAGCACAACCGAATCCATCGAAACTCAATGCCGGCCAATATTGCATAGCCAATCTTGGACAGAACTACCTCAGCCGTACCTGGCGCAATCGAACGCGCTCACCAAACTCAATCAACGCTAGCTATCTCCGAGACCCCCGACGATATATGCAAATATTGAGATATTTATTTTTTAACGCATATTTACACTTCCAGCTACGTGACTAGAAATCCCACACATGTGTAAATACCTCCTTAAGTGATCCTTTCTTATATGCTAAGCGATTAAGAGATTTAAGAGATACCCCCTTTGTATGTGCGCATGCAAAGAGTCTATATTACAACTAAGATGATATTTAAAAAGTTTTATAAACTGATCGCGGTTACTAGAAATATACCATTTATACCTTGATATTTTACGAACATAGTTAAATATTGAGAGTTTCATTATACGATTTATGTTTACACCAGAAAATACAAAAAATACAAAATACCAAAAGTCTATTCTAAATTACTGAACTGTATTTGGGCTTAAGTCAACAACTACAATTTCACTTGGTTATTAAGATTGGAAAAATGGAACATATGCACATATATCAGCTAGGCCCATTCATTGTCTATCGATCAGAAACCATTTCGTGTACATATTAATGACTGTTTGAGGCACTGTCACTTCCCGCTAACCAGATCATTTAGCAAATTTCTCGTCATGCCGACAAAATCAAAGGCAAATCTGAAAATAGCAAATGTCGCTGCCATCAAAGGGTTAAAATGCACAAGTCATTTGGGCCAAATCTATCCAAATTCTATTCATAAAACAAGAACTCGGAAAGGGACCGACAAGCTGGAAAGGGAAAACCACGACAATAAGCAGAATTTCGTCCTTAGCTGCGTATCAAAACTATGTGAAGCCATGCACTGATGTCGTTTCGCAATTTTTCCCACAGTTTCTCAGATACAGATCTCTCCACGTCCAATCGCCATTACTCACCTTACAGCTTGCGTCATTCATAAGGACAATGGAGTGGTCCACCTGAGTAATGCAACCGAGACACAAAGTCTGCTAGGAGTCGAAAAATTACCTATAGGTATTTTTGAAATTTGTTATGCGAACAAGCAATCGATCCCTGGTCACTATCAATGTGACTTCTACGGGCGGACAATAGATGCAATTTATGAAGACGACTTTCGGATCCGTAGTAAAGCAGTGAACAACTGGCCGTACCCGATTTTCGGCCAACTTCCAGGACAATGGAAAATTTGTCCGCTTGATAGGGGCGTGCATTCTTACATTACCTGACCCCTACCTGCTCGGTGTTCCGCCGGGCCTGAGAATATTATCCGATCTGCCAGACAGTGCGTCGGCGTACACATCGTTCAAGTGACACAATGATCTATAATGTGTCCCTTCCATTCGAGCCTATACAATTTTGTCATTTGCTCCAGACACAGAGCTGCACTCAAACTTCTTTGGCGAGCACTCGAGACCCACTTGCTGCAACAAAGTGCAAGCACTCATTACTCAAAATGATTATATATTACCCCAAATTCATGCGTAATGGCTGGCAATTAATCTATGTGAAAAGAACAATTTTAAATTTTTTACTATTTTACCAGTACTTTTGAGTTTATTTATTTATGTATTTATTTCTATCAAAAACACGTGGTATCGTTCAAATTCGTGGAACTTGTAATATCGCGATTATAACTATTAATCGACATTTAATGATTAGATTTTATATATTTTTGAGAGTCGTTTCTCAATTGAATTATAATAGAAGGCCCTGCACTCAAAAAAATATTTTTCTTAAAAAAAACATAAATAAAATAACATTTTAAAGCTCAGAAAAATGCTATAAGCAGGACACATTTATAAAACTATAAAACGACTCTTTTTAAACACTTATTTTAATGTAGATAAAAACTATGTTCTGCATTTAAGACCGTTGTTTCCTATTTTTTGTACTTAAGGTCTCTTTACACCTCAGTAGGAATTTTTCATATGGAATTTCATATGTTTCAACCCCGTTAAAATAGTCTGTTGTTATTCCAGTGAAAAATTTTAAAAATGTTAGCTTGGTCTAGACCAAAATTGTTAAATTGTTACACTTCCTGTTATTATTATGTTAAAATACTTACAAAAAATGTTGCACAATCTAACAAAATTTAAAAAAAAAATCTAATTTGCTAATTAAAACAAGACTATCAGATACCCGTTACTCAGCTTAAGGGAGTGCGGGTGTGATGGAGATATACAACTTTGATCGCGTATAATTTTTTAACGAATGGTCCGATTTAAAAAAGCTTAACTTGCGCTGCGTAGGAAGCCAAAGAATATGTGTGGGTAATTCCAATTACTTTCAGACAGACAGACGGACATGGCTAGATCGACTCGGCTAGTGACCCTGATCAAGAATATATATACTTTATAGGGTCGGAAATGCTTCCTTCTAGCTGTTACATACTTTTGCACGAGTACTTTTGCATCAATGGCTCTCACCAATTCTTAATTCTTTTGAGTCGCACTAGCGGTTTTAAAGTCCTTGTAATTACAAATAATATTACATCGCTGCATCCATATATTGATATACGAATGGTTTATTGTAAGCTGATCAGGAACCACTTATATAACCAGAGGCTGTGCAATGGAAGAACCTATAAAACCAGACTGCCACTGAGAAGAATTGACGACAAATTCTAATTATACCCGTTACTCGTAGAGTAAAAGGGTATACTAGATTCGTGCAAAAGTATGTAACAGCTAGAAGGAACCGTTTCCGACCCCATAAAGTATATATATTCTTGATCAGGGTCACTAGCCGAGTCGATCTAGCCATGTCCGTCTGTCCGTCTGTCCGTCTGTCCGTCTGTCCGTCTGTCCGTCTGTCTGTCTGTCTGTCTGTCCGTCTGTATGAACGCTGAGATCTCAGAAACTACAAAAGCTAGAAGGTTGAGATTTCCCACACATATTCTTTGGCTTCCTACGCAGCGCAAGTTTATTTTAGCCGAGCGCCCCCTCTAACGCCCACAATCGCCCACTAACGATTTTAAAATGGGTCCTGCGCCCACATCTTTAAAGATTTCCGAGAAGTATAAATGCAATTTTGTTGTGTATATTTATACCTATCGAAATGTAGAAGACATTTTTCAAATCGGACCATTCATTAAAAAGTTATACGCAATCAAAAATTATATATCTATCTCCTTCGCACTCCCTTTAGCTGAGTTACGATTATTAGTCGGGACACCAACCCGACACAGCGTTCGCACTCCCTTTAGCTGAGTGACGGGTATTAGATAGTCGGGACAACAACCCGACTATAGCGTTCTCTCTTGTTATACCCGTTACTCGTAGAGTAAAAGGGTATATTAGATTCGTGCAAAAGTATGTAACAGGTAGAAGGAAGCGTTTCCGACCCTATAAACTATATATATTCTTGATCGGGATCACTAGCCGAGTCGATCTAGCCATGTCCGTCTGTCCGTCTGTCTGTCCGTCTGTCTGTCTGTCTGTCTGTCTGTCTGTCTGTCTGTCTGTCTGTCTGTCTGTCTGTCTGTCTGTCTGTCTGTCTGTCTGTCTGTCTGTCTGTCTGTCTGTCTGTCTGTCTGTCTGTCTGTCTGTCTGTCTGTCTGTCTGTCTGTCTGTCTGTCTGTCTGTCTGTCTGTCTGTCTGTATGAACGCTGAGATCTCGGAAACTATAAAAGCTAGAAGATTGACATTTTACATGCAGATTCTAGGAGTTCCTACGCAGCGCAAGTTTGTTTCAAAAGGGTGCCACGCCCCCTCTAACGCCCACAATCGCTTATATACGATTTTAAAAATTTCAATATTTTGGAAAAGTAAAAATGCAGTTTTATTGTGTTTATCAATACCTATCGAAATGTAGAAAAAATTTTTTAAATCGGACCATTCGTTAAAAAGTTACGAAGGATCAAAGTTTTTCTCCATCTCTTTCGCACTCCCTTTAGCTGAGTAACGGGTATCTGATAGTCGGGGCACCCGACTATAGCGTTCTCTCTTGTTTTTAAATATTTTTATTTTGCTACACTAGTGATAAAACCGAGGTTCATTGGCTGACTTCAGAAGACCTCCGGTTTCTATCATCCACTGTGTGGTTTTCTTCATCTTCTTCTTTATAAACCTTATTTCCACCCATGGGCCGCTGTGCGCCGACAAATTCAAATTGCGAAAAACCTTTGTCCGACCTCAATTTTTATACCCTTGTAGAGGGTATTATAATTTCAGTCAGATGTTTGCAACGCAGTGAAGGGGCGTTTCCGACCACATAAAATATATATATTCTTGATCAGAACCAAAAGCCGAGTCTATCAAGCCATGTCCGTCTGTCCGTTTCTATGCGAACTAGCCTCTCAGTTTTAAAGCTATCGCGATGAAACTTTCCCGAAAGTCTTCTTTCTATTGCAGGTAGTACATATGTCGGAGCGAGCCGGATCGGACCACTATATCTTAAGGCTCCCATAGGAAAATTCAAAGAAATATAAGAAAATTCATTGTAACTTTGTAGGAAGTAGGCGTTTTGATTATTGACTACTTAAAAACAAAATTGGAATTCCTGGAACTGCACCGAGTAAGCATTACTTTATCTACAAGGGTATATAAGCTTCGGCTGGCCGAAGGTAGCTTCCTTTCTTGTTTTTTTATCTTTTTCATAATGAGTCAAAATTAATTTTTAAATGGTTTTGAACTCTGTATCTGGTGAAGAACACTAAAAAAAAAGTATTGCTATTTATTTTTTGAATAAATAATTTTCAAATAATTTTAATATTTCTTTATGAAGAGCTAATACAGTTCTTGATCGATTAGCGAAAACATCATAAATATATTCTTCACCGTTTCGAAAATATACAAAAAAGAATGATTGCACCTTTTTTGAAAAAAACGCTAAAAATGTTATTTTCTGACCCCTATAACTCCGTTGAAGCTCAAAATTTCTCAAAACCGTTCAAATGAAGTTTTTTTTTTGCCGTTGTGAACCGGAAAAATAAACAAGTTTGACGAAAATCGGACCTTCGAATCTAGGGTGGCCCACTTGGGAGATTTTGACTCAACAGACGTTTAGTATTTTGTATTTTCATTCATCGTGGTATTTCATGAGCCAGATTGCAGTCAAACAGAGCAAATTGGCCCAAGTCGCGGTTAAGGGCAGCAAATCAAAAATTTGACAGCGCGAAATTTTTAAGGAATAATGGAATTTTAGAAATTAATTACAATAACAATTACAACAAGAGAGAACGCTATAGTCGGGTTGTTGTCCCGACTATCTAATATCCGTCACTCAGCTAAAGGGAGTGCGAACGCTGTGTCGGGTTGGTGTCCCGACTAATAATCGTAACTCAGCTAAAGGGAGTGCGAAGGAGATAGATATATAATTTTTGATTGCGTATAACTTTTTAATGAATGGTCCGATTTGAAAAATGTCTTCTACATTTCGATAGGTATAAATATACACAACAAAATTGCATTTATACTTCTCGGAAATCTTTAAAGATGTGGGTGCAGGACCCATTTTAAAATCGTTAGTGGGCGATTGTGGGCGTTAGAGGGGGCGTGGCGCTCGGCTAAAATAAACTTGCGCTGCGTAGGAAGCCAAAGAATATGTGTGGGAAATCTCAACCTTCTAGCTTTTGTAGTTTCTGAGATCTCAGCGTTCATACAGACGGACAGACAGACAGACAGACAGACGGACAGACGGACAGACGGACATGGCTAGATCGACTCGGCTAGTGACCCTGATCAAGAATATATGTACTTTATGGGGTCGGAAACGCTTCCTTCTAGCTGTTACATACTTTTGCACGAATCTAGTATACCCTTTTACTCTACGAGTAACGGGTATAAAAATGTGGACCTCCGCGTAAAAAAATCACAAAATTCTATTCCATTTTAGATTAAAAGATTGGTGGCCAAGGAGTCCAAAAAATGTTATAAAAATTATGACCCTTAACAGCGACAGCAAGTTTCGTACTGTTATTACCCCAGTACTGGGGCTACACTAGTTTAAAAAGTATGTTGACATTTTACAAAGCTCCTCGTTCTTACAAGTCTCATTCTACTGGCTCTTTATTTATAGCTGCTAAAAAAACGTTCTTAAAATAACATCAAACGTTCTTGAACTTTTAAAGAAATCTGAACTACAGCGTGGCCCAGAGGTTGGAGGCGTTGCGACTTTGAATTTGTGTCTTAAGTTAAGAACAATCGGCATTGACTCATTCCTATTAACAAACGTTCTTAACTTCTGACTGTTTTTTGTTTGTATTAATTTACTAACCGAGAACAGGTATTGCTTAAACTAAATAGAATTCACGCTTAGGTTAAGTACACAAAAATCTAAGCAAATAATTTACTTTTCTTTCAGAAACAATGTAAAATAAAGAATAATTTACATCGTTTCAAAAACACAACGAGTTTAATACCTTTATAATTTAAGAATTAAATTCTTAAAACAAGAGAGAACGCTATAGTCGGGTGGGTGTCCCGACTATCTAATACCCGTCACTCAGCTAAAGGGGGTGCGAGGGAGAGGGATATATAAATTGTTGATTGCGCATACCTTTTTAATGAATGGTCCGATTTAAAAAATTTCTACTCCATTTCGATAGGTATAAATATACTTCTCGGAAATCTTTAAAGGTGTGGGCGCCAGACACATTTTAAAATCGTTAGTGGGCGATTGTGAACGTTAGAGGGGGCGTGGCGCTCGGCTGAAATAAACTTGCGTAGAAAGCCCAAGAATATGTGTGGGAAATCTGAACATTCTAGCTTTTGTAGTTTCCAGTTACTCAGCTTTCATACAGACAGACAGACGGATCGATGGCTAGATCGACTCGGTTAGTGACCCCGAATATTCAAGAATATATTATGCACGGATACAATATACCCTTTTAGTCTACGAGTAACGGGTATAACAAGTACATTTTGTGCTTTAATTGTGAATCGAAATGAAAGAAATTATATATACATATTTATGTTTTGGTCATTGTCGTAAGACCAAGCGTGGCAGTGTTGTTATGGACGTCCGAGCTTAAGGTTGCAGGATCCAGAAGAGGCATGTGATTTTCACAAAAATGTTTCGTAAGTATAAATCACATTTGATCTATAATACTTATTATACCCTTGCAAAGTAGTCTCTTAGTTTTGAAGCTATCGGTCTGAAACTTTCCAAAAAGTCTTATTTCTGTTGCAGGTTAAATATGTCGGAACCAGCCGGATCGGACAGGTCATGCATGACTTACAATTTTTTAGTTTTCTGGATGTAGTTTTTTCCGGTTCACAAAAAATTTAAGTTTGATCACGGAAACATATCGATCACTTCTCAGAAATAATAATTTAAACGCAAACATCAAAATTTCACTAGATTTGTCTGTATAATAGACTTTGTTGCGTAGACAATGTCTTGGTGTATTTCCTAACAAGAAAGTAGTTCGGCTATCAATAACATATTGACATTGTGAAACAATGGCTATGCAGGGCACTGGCCATTCATGACCACAAAAAGGCCAAACAAGATTCCTCGGGTGGTCCGCAGAAAGTTCGCAAGGAAATAATTGCCAGGACTACCAGTACCACTTTTCTAGCAGCATCTCCTGCCCACCCAGGGCGCCCAGAGTGAGAAATCGAAATGTCTTTTGTGCCACTAATAGAGAAATATACGGGCCATAATTTCGCAATGCTACAATAGCCGGCTCGAAGCAATTGAATGAAGAGATATGCGAAAACCCAAGGATCAAAACACGCTGAGAGCGAGCATGAATAAAAAATGGAGTCAGAGCCCACGGGTCCTGCTACCTTTCACAGCGCCAGTTCTCAGGCGAGCCAGTGCTATGACGGCTCTTTCATCCCCTTGCTCAGCAACCCTCATCCCTTATTAACACGCATAGGGATGAATGGGAGGAAGCGAGAAAGGGCCCACCCGAGGGCTGGCAGGGGTAGAATCGTTCTGTACAAAGTGTCAGACGATCCATTTAATTGGGAAATTTATTGGCCGACAGGAGCAACAGCCCCACAAGAATAGGAGACAGTTTGTCTGGCCCTCTTGTTGGCTTTCTTTTGGTCTATATGTTTTGCGGTTCTGGAAATGCTTTTCCGATGAATAGACTGACCTAAAAAACTAAGACAAAATTCATGTAAACAAGCGGACTGGCCAGAAGGAGGAGGAGATGACTCAGTTTAATGTAGATCCTCGGGCTTCAACGTGTGTGGTGACCGTAGTGGTATTTCTATTGTTAAGTCTGCGAGACTTTCCAGCTAATAATGTTTGCACAGACTATCCTCGGCAGCTCGAAGTTGCCCAATATTCCCAATTTAGATGCTATTCCTCCGGCTTTAGCGGTTTGCAATCGTGTTTTCCAGGGGTCTAGGCGGAAAAGTGGGTATGTCCCGACACTCGCTAAACGATGCGTTTATCTGCATAAACACTCCTAATAAGTCGATTGTACGCTCCGTAATCTCCCACGACCTACGGACCTAATGAGCCCGTCTTTGCGCGTCGTTTGCCCGGCTATATAGGCAATTTGTGGTCTAATCCTAACGCCTCGTCTTGCATAATGCTTCCAATGCGCAGATAGGATAAGGCGCTGGAAACGGTCGAAACGTCGCCCGGTTTGCCCAAATCCCCCACACATGGTTCTAAGCTGTTTGCCGAGATAAGCCGCAGACCAGGAAGGTCAGAGACGGCATTGTGAAACTGAACAATATCCGCTTTCTCTAGGAGCCTGCTGCATATCGCAAGAAAAGGTGGCACCGATCAAGCCTCAATCAAAAACACGTCCATCAATATTGCGCAATGTCATTAAAATCAAACCGAAAACCAACCAAAACACCACCCGACGGCCGCTCAGCAGGACATCGAGCCTGAAAAACAAACAGTAGGTGGTGCCGGAAGTGCCGGGCAGTTTTCCCATCAACATGAGCCCAGAAAACTAATCAAAACTAATGATGACATAATTGGCTTTATCTACAGCATCGGCAGCCCAAGGTGCCGAGTCCTTTGTGGGTCATGGGACGCAGTAGGAAGTGCCTACCAAGATCAAGCCACACAAACCGTCCCAAGTCCCGGAATAGAAAAACACATACATACATACATACATACATACATCCGTTGACGCTCACAGAAAATAGATAATTGATTTCTTTGCGAAATTGAATGCAATGACAGTTCGATTTTGCGCTCGCCGTGTGGTCCGAACTGCTTCAAGATCCTGTGTACATACATAATTTAGCTGGAACGTTAGAAATGTTGTGACATTTTGGAAAAGATTCCTGGACAATTTATCAAGGCACTGTCACCCAGACCTTTTTTTTAATTGACTTGTTCTTGGAGTTTCTTTACCATACGGAAGTGTAGCGTGTGCTCGTTCTAATTTCCACTTCCCCTGAGAGGTGACCCCGATCTGATAGATCAATTAATAAACCAAACATATTTCTTTTCTATTTTTTAACAATGACTGTTGTTGTATTTGTAAATATGCACATAAAAATACTTGGCTGCCGGTAGCAGTAAATAAAAGGTATATAAAGACATACGAGTATATATGTAAAACGAATGGTATGTATAAATATGTATCGGAACGTGCTGGCAGTGAAGTGCGTGCATTTTCTTTAGGTTTTCTTATGACGCTGAATATTCAGCGAGAGCCAAAAGTAAGATCTAGTCTAATCTTGAGTATATAAATGGGCCTTGTTGTTGGCAAGCAAAAGGCATCCTTAAGTAAGGCACAAACAGTTGAGCCACTGAGATTACTTTGTGTCGCTGCTCTTTAAAATTCCAAGCAGATGCTTTGAGGTTGGTTTACGAATTTCTCTTCTCTCTCTTAGTACAGCATTGTAGCGGCCTTGTTCTTGTCCTCACTTGGCGGCTCCAGGCTTTGGCGGTCGCGGAGATCTCGGCGCTCGGCGTAGAGCAGAACGGCGATGTTGAGCAGCACCACCGTGGTGGAGATCACGACCAGGTAGAAGCTGTAGCCAAGGTAGGCCAGTCCAGTGCTGTACCAATGCTGCTGCTGGTGTTCGGCCAGAAGTACGTTTAGGGCGAAGTAGTTGTAAAACTGCACCAGCCATGCCACAAATGCCACCACCTGGGCCCCCGCAGCTGATATGTTGGCGGCCAGTAGCAAAACCATAGTGCCGCCCCGCTTGGCCGCAGAGGCTGATTTCAGGACAGCGGCGATGGCGGCCACTGCGCAGGCAAGGAGGCCAAAGCCGGTGCCCAAGGTGGTAAGCAACCAGAGCCAGAAGCTGGTTTCTCCGTTCTCCGTGCGGACAAAGGTGTAAACTGAAAGTGGTGAGCAATGGAAGATAGAACGGTATAACAAATTTTTAAAAAAATATAGTTGAACAATATGCACGGTTGTATTTTTTTAAAAAATTTTTAGTAAGTTATATAAAACCCGGTTAGCATGTTTTTTTAAATATTTAATTTTTTTTGAAATGTCATGAGAATAACTGTTATACATAACAAGAAAGGAAGCTACCTTCGGCCAGCCGAAGCTTATATACCCTTGTAGATAAAGTAATGCTTACTCGGTGCAGTTCCAGGAATTCCAATTTTGTTTTTAAGTAGTCAAGAATCAAAACGCCTACTTCCTACAAAGTTACAATGAATTTTCTTATATTTGTTTGAATATTCCTATGGAAGCCTTAAGATATAGTGGTCCGATCCGGCTCGCTCCGACATATGTACTACCTGCAATAGAAAGAAGACTTTCGGAAAAGTTTCATCGCGATAGCTTTAAAACTGAGAGGCTAGTTCGCATAGAAACGGACAGATGGACATGGCTAGATAGACTCGGCTATTGGTGCTGATCAAGAATATATATACTTTATGTGGTCGGAAACGTCTCCTTCACTGCGTTGCAAACATCTGAAGGTTAAATTTTATAACACAGTGTAGTATTGTGAATTTGTTTGTATGGGAGGCAAGAGAGCCCGTACTGTTAAATTTACTATACATTTTTAATAATTTTAAGTCTGTTCCGGTTCAGATACTATTGTACAGGATGCATTTTGGTCCTATTGGTACCACTTAATTCCTTTGTAAGAAGCGTTTGATCATGGATAGTTGAGAACTGGGTGCTTGCTCAATAAATTCTGCAAATTTCAGATACATTTTTCGACATTTTTAATACGAAAATATACATTTAAACATTTTAATTGATTATTTTATTTTTTTTGCATGTAACTTTTTTTAGTGTATTTGACATAATTAAAATTTCAAAAAAAAATTGTTAATAATAATGTAATGTAGAAATTAAAAAAACACATTTTTAGCCATAATTTACAAATAATAATAATTTTAAAGTTTTGCACGAAATAAGCTGTGATATTAAAAAAGTCAATGATTTCAGTTTTTTTTTAAATTTAAGTGTTATTCTATGGAATCTTAAAATAGAAAAGTGGGTTAATAAGGGCCAGAATACTACCTAACATAACTGCATTTAAATTTTGGTAAATTATCGTATAGTTTGTAAGCTATACGAGTTTGAACTTTAAGTTTACCTCTGCACGAAATAAGCTGTGAGCCACTGTATATCTTATAGCTCCCATAGGAAGGATAAAAAAAAAACGTTAAAAAAATTCTAGCTTCGGTGTTTTTTAAAATATTACCTTTTACTCATTTTTTTTTTTAATATTTCTGCATTTTGAATTAAATTTTTAAGAAATATAGCTGCTATAGGAACGACCATAGGATTGGAAATTAATAGGAAAAAAATGATATCTTTTTTGATTTTTATTACATTTTCTTCTTCTCTATATAGCTTTTCTCTGACATTTCAAAATTTTGAATTAAATTTAATAAAATTCTGACGGCTATATTATAGCAGCTAAAATTTTTTTACATATACGCAAGTAAATCTAAATTTAATGTTTTTGTAAGTTAATAAGAACAAACGATTTTTATTATAAAAATCAAATAAATAAAATCCATAACGGATTTGCAACAAAAATAACGGTGTATTTAAAAAAATTGTAGGACTCTTCTAAGTGCATGATTTTTTTGGTAAGGAAAATTTACAATAACCGTTATTATAGGCTATAGGATATAGACGCTTGATCGGCACGCGCTTTTACCCTAATCAAGGTATGCATAATCCTTCTGCAAGGCTATATAAGCTTCGGCTGGCCGAAGCTAGTTTCCTTTCTTGCTTACAATTTTTGTAGACCGATTTACTTAAAACTGTGACGAAAAGTTTACAAGTATGGGGTAGCAGTAATCTACAGATCTCGTTTAGTCTTGGGTTTTTTATATCGACCTGTGTACGTATTGCCCTTATATGATCAGCTAATTAAAGTGTATCAATAAAAGTAGATTCAAAACATGAATTCCCTTATCTTCAACGGAATGGAACCTATCTCCTTTGCTAAGGATCAAAACCCTTATGCTGTGGATTTGGGCATTGCTCCCCAATAATTTGTCCTAGAACTACTTTCCCCCTAGAGTCAAAAGTATTTAATGTGCTTACCATCAACCGAATAGGTGCGCACGCCAAATCCGGGATTCAGGTGCTGATTGCCGTAGAAGAGCCCGAAGTTGACCTCGCCCTTGGCCTCTGCCGAGGAGTTGCGGCGGGGACTGGCCCGCACCCAGTGGTTACTGGTCATGCTGACCAGTAGGAGACCGATAGCCAGGCAGCTGCCGAAGAAGGTGGAGAAGACCAAAGCACGTGTGCGCATGCTCATCTTGATAGTGCTCGTGGAAGACCGGTGGAAGGGGCAGGCGCGAGACTGTTTTCACCATTTAGAAATCTCCGGGGCTAGACTCCAGCTGCAACAAAGAAAGTCGAGTGAGTACATATGTTCATAAGATGAGTTCCAAGTTCAGTGGCCCCTTATTACGCGTTTCCCACCTTTTATTATGCAGTCGACGGGAGCAATCACAACCAGCCTTTTTGTTTTTTGAATAATGGATGAAGTACAATTGATATAAACTGTTTTGCCTTTGTTATTTGTTTCGGGTAAGATGCCTCGGAATTTTCAGCTTAGTTAGCACGGTAGCACTTATTGGAGCATCTGTCTGGCAACTCCGACATATATCGATAACGATATCATATATGCACAATATTTATACCAAAATTTATATACTAAAATGTGAACCCGGTGACAACTCTGAACACTGCAAAAATAGCGCGAACATTTTGTCTTTACGGCGGAAAACAAGAGAGAATTTTGTGAAAATATGAGCAGTCGAAAGAACAGAGGTACAGAAAATATGGAAAATCTGTGCCCTGTCACCAGGTAATTTCTTATCCCTTTGTTGGCAAAGAAGTGGCTAGTGAATTGCTCCCGTGACGTCACGCCCCCACAAGTTGGACAAACGGGGTCAGCAAAGTGCCTATCAATTGCGGGTTCTTAACCCCTGCCCCTGTGCTGATGAAGCACTATCCAGCTGTGCACTTATAATTAATCCCCGACTATTGCAGAAAACGCTCGACCAGTAAGAACCCCGCATCGGCCGTGGGCGCACTAGTTTCCGCCACGAAGTCGTCCCACTACGAGCACCCTTCATCGCCCTCTGCACTAACATTTGAGGCCCTGGAGGAAATGGGCATCGGAATGCTGGACTCCGAGGAGAGCAGTTCCTCAGCCCTCTCAGCCATGGCGTTGGCAGTCAGTGCCAGTGCCACCAGCGACGACAACTCCAACGAGACAACTCCATACGCAAATGTGCCGCGCATGGCACACCAGCTCCAGCATACTCAGCGCCTGAGCCTGGGATCCACGGCGGACACCACACAGGACAGTATTACTGTAGAGGATGCACTATCCCTGACCCGCCAGTCGGCCGAAAAGCTGCAGACCCTGGTCCAAGCAAAGCGCTCGACGTTGGTTTCTGACTGCGGCAGTAACTCGAATTCGCCCAGCAAGCGCTTGCGAAACCCCCTAGCTGCAGTCACCTGCAACAACCAGAGTGAGGCGGCGGCACCGCTCAACTTTCAACCCTCCACCAGCAGATTGGCACAAGTTCGACAGGCAAAGAAGCCTTTGACAGCACAGATCACTTCACGTCTTATGCCCTCGGACAGCTTCTTTGTGTACCGAACCCCTGCCATGAGCGCCCACATCAACAGCGGGATAAACTACTTCGAAAGGCTCTCCGACGAAATACTCTTGGACATTTTCAAGTGGCTTCCGAAGAAGACGCTACTTCGAATGGCCACCGTTTGTCGGCGCTTTAACCGCTGTTCCCGTGATGAGACCTTGTGGACAAGGTTGGATCTGGGTCTGCGGACTATTCGCCCTGGCGCCCTCGAGCAAATTGTGCGGCGAGGAGTCCTGGTATTACGCCTGGCCCAGGCTAGTGTAAGTACCTTGTCATAAGAGTATAACAGATTTATTTCATTCCTGAAAAACAGATCCAGGAGCCAGCTTTCACACCATCATCGGCAGGCTTAAGGGTGCGACTGCAATATCTTGACTTGAGCATGGCCTCTATTAACCGAAGTTCACTTCTCACACTATTGTCCCACTGCCGCCAACTAAAAAAAATAAGCTTAGAAAACACTGAGCTCGATGATAGCATCTGCACGGAAATCGCCAAAAATAAAGCTTTGGAGGCAGTTAATCTGACCATGACCAGCGGTTTAACAGCCAACAGTGTGCGCCTGCTGATGGAGTCTCTGACCAATCTAAGCAGCTTAAACATATCGTGGACTGATCTAAGTGCAGATGCTGTAACGGCGTTGGTCACACACATCTCCCCCAATGTTATTCGGCTTAATATCGCTGGCTGCCGACGTGTTTTGTTTGACTCTCGTGAGTAGTGCCCGATCAGGTCTTTCCTAGCCCAATCCATATTAATTTAAATTATTTTCTTTAGATGTAGCATCGCTACAAAAACGATGCCCTCAGCTGTTGGAACTCGATCTATCGGACTGTAATAGCCTAACCCCAGCAGCCATTACAGCAATTATGAAGTTTAAGATGCTGGAGTATTTGTCCGTTTCCCGTTGTTATCTCATTCCGGCTACAAGATTTATGTAAGTTTATTCTGGCCCACATTTCATTTATTTCTACCCTTACTTCTTGCTTGCAGTGAACTAAAGGCTATGGCCTCTCTGACTTATTTGGACATATTTGGGATGCTGTCGGACGCTGCAATGGAAGTCCTTGAGAAACAAATGCCCAAAATGGGCATCAACAAGTTCATTCACAGTTCGGTTTCACGCCCGACTGTGGGCACACGTCGCACATCGATTTGGGGGCTTCGCACACGCGACTAAATCCTGTTTCTGCTCCTACCGGTATCATAAGAATCTGTTTTACTGCGTATACCACCCCTAACGCAAGTTTTTTATTTTCAATTTAACAACATCAATAATCACATTTTGCTGTTCTATTTTCCTGCTATATGCGTTTAGTTATTAATCTGCTTCGCTGATCGGGGCCACGGGTTTCTCCCACTCCCATTCCTCCCAGCTGACACAGTTCTTGAGACTATCCATGAATCCCGTTTCGCTGGGGCACTTCAATTCGCTGGCTGGTTTGTCAAGTGTCTCACACTTCCAGTACGACGTGGCATCCCAATTGTTTCGAAAGAGTCCTATATCTAGCTCGACTTGGGACTTGCAACCCGGTTGTCCGTCACCATCATAGGCTTGGACAAGGCCACACAAAATCACAAAGAGAGCGCTAAGGGCGAGCTGAAGCTTCATCTTATAACAAACTGATGGTCTACTAGAAGCATACAAAGGCTTTTATAGCTTTTATAGCATTATTGCAACGGTATGCTTAAGTGCAACTACTACCAGAAAATGCTTTTATAAATTGGCATCTAAGTAAACACTCGAAAGAGTAAAGAATAGATAGCAAAGGTTGCCCTTGGCGGCAACCTGCGGGAACTATAACTGAAATAATGTTAATGAGTCTGAGTCATAAAGTTTTTGATTTAAATTTTGAATAAGATGTTTCTGTTTTTTATTAAACATAATTTTTAAAATAATGAGTATTAATAAATTAAAAATCTCTAAGGTCGATCACCTAACTTTTAAAGAGATTCTGGGGTCACAAAACAAATTAAAATGTAAATTGTTAAAACTAATTTTTTTTTTAATAAACGAAAAATGTGCTTTATTTGCTTGAACACAATTTTTTGCTTACTTGTGTTTAAACTTTAAATTAACTATTTCCTAAATATTTGCGCTTTTCATTTAACTTCAATAAAATTTAGTTAGCACCTTGATGGGCCTTTTGGAAGACTATGGTGTGAATAATCTTGCCAAAGTCCTTTGCATCCACATCTTTGATCTGCGCCTAGGAGATTTAAGGGTTGACAATTTCCTCATCTGTGATCCTTCCGCTCCCCTGACCACTTGAAGCCATGGGCTGACCTGTTTGCCTTGCATTTTTGCACGATTAAATACCTTTAAAACGCCGTAAAAGAACCCAAATTAAAAAAAAACGACTTGTGGGCACATATCCCCTAATGCCAGCATACGATTGACACTGATCCTGCCAACTTTATTTACTTTTCAAGTTATTAAATATATAAGTTTTTCTTGTTTTTTAAGGTACTAAGGGCCGATTTCTGTCCGTTTGTTAAATCTTAAGTACGGTTAAAACCATGAAACTTTATGAGAAATCAGGGTTTAACCTTTATTTAAATTTAACAGACGGACTAGAAAACGGCCTTAACGGACTTAAGACGCAAAGTGGATTTAGCAAAATAGCAGCCAAATCTGTTAAGTTTTAACGAAATAGTTTAATTTTATTTAGGCACGAGAGATTCATGAATTTTGCTCGGGCAGCACGAGCTAATTATTTCGTTTTTATACCCGTTACTGCACAAGTATGTAACAGCTAGAAGGAAGCGTTTCCGACCCCATAAAGTATGTATATATGTTCTTGATCAGAGTCACTAGCCGAGTCGATATAGCCATGTTTGTCTGCCTGTCTGTATGAACGTTGATATCTCGGAAACTACAAAAGCTAGGTTGAGATTTTCCACTCATATTCTTGTGCTTCCTACGCAGCACAAGTTTATTTCAGCCGAGCGCCACGCCCCCTCTAAATTTTATATATCCATCCCCCTCGCACTCCCTTTAGCTGAGTGACGGGTAGTAGATTGTCGGGACACAAAACCGACTATAGCGTTCTTGTTTAAATTGGAAAAATAAGTTTAAAGAGATAAATTTTTGAAACTACAATATTTTTCCGTTATCTAAAAAATATTCTTGCATTTGGTTTCACTGTGCAACATTAATAGGGGGATTCCCTAAACTGTTGAACTGCTGAATTGTTGAATTTTGGTCAGCTGTTAATCAGCTGTTCCATACAATGTCAACTTTCAGAAATTTCAGCAATTGAAATTTGAATTGCTGAAAAGCCAGAGTTGTCACCTTTTTTTAAAAGTCGTGGCAACTCTGTAACATTTTAGTATCACCAGTACGCATTATTTATTTTAAAATCAACTTAGAAAGCATATTTGTGGTCCTTTTTACCTTGGTAACACTTTTAGACAGTAACTAGCAATAATAAATCAAATTTAACATGCTTAAAGTTCCGTGCAATTTTTCAACAAATAACAGCTGTTTGAAAATTCAACAGGAATCATTTTGGGTCGTTCCCTTAATTGCTGAAATTTTCTGTTGAATTTTCAACAAGAAGTTTTTGGTTTTGGACGACTTTTTGTTAGGTTGAGTACTAGCTCTTTCTTATAAAATAAGGTGAACTCTGGGCTTTTACAGCCTCAAGGTTGTTAAATTGCTGTCATTTTTAAAAATTGAATTTGTATGGAACAGCTGACCGAAATTCAATAATTCAACAGATCCCTAGAAAAATTCCAACGATTTCCAACGCACAGACTCTGTGGGAATAGGGTATAAGTAATAGGGTAAGAAAAATTCCCTTTTTTAAAATAATCGATTGTTGATAGCAAAAATTTCTAGAAACATCGATTATATCGAACAATAATCCATTCTTGTTCCAGCTCTATATTCGACTATTTTCCACACGTAATTTCGGAATATACGAGAAAAAAGCGATTTTGACATTGACCTAACGGCAAAAGAGACTCTACCACGGCTTTCTGATGGACGAAGACTCTGCTCTGAAGCAGCCGGTGGTGGACTTGCGTCTGGGCAACGCGGCCGACATTCCCCCGGGTCCACCCGGCGTCGAAGAGAAAAGCGGAAACGAGAAGAGTGACTCGAGGAGCAGTGCATCGGGAAAGGGTATCAAGTCAAGTTCCAGGCGTCGATCTCAATCCCGTGGTCGTTCCGATTCCCGAAACGCCGCCTCGCCCCCAAACACGCGGCGACGGCGCTCCGTGTCCCGCTCACCGACTCCCCCGCGCCGCGGACGTTATGACTCGCCCGACTACGGTCGCTATCCACGACGCCGCTTTGACCGCGACCGTCACCGCTCCCCGGACCGCAGACCTGCCCGTCGAGGGCGCCGCTACGGACGTTCTCGCACACGCAGCGTCTCGCCTCGTCGTGGAGGTCGTTGGTCGCCCAAAAAGAAGCCAGCATCGCCTCCTCTTCCCCCGTCGCAAAGAGTACCGCCTCAGCAAATGCCTCCCGGCTACAATGTCATGGCCCCGCAAATGTACGCTACCTACGGCGCTCCACCCGATGTATATGGCCACCAGTACGGAATGCCGCCTAATGCCTTTCCGCCTCAGGGACCGAGTTACGGCATGCCAGGACCTCCGCCCGAACAGTCTGCTTTTGGAGCCGACTACGGTCCACCCGCAGGCGCTTGGGGCGTAAATGGTGAGCACGAGAGACCAGCATCTTAAATCGCAACCTTATATGGGCCGATCTTCATTGCAGAATATGGCCAGCAGGTCTGGATGACACAGCCCATGGCTGGAATGCAGCCACCTGCTCCGGACGCCCTAGCCCAGCCACATCAGGCTCGCGAAACTCCGCCGGACAAGCAGCTGGAGGATGAGCAGAAAGGGCCAGCGCTTGAAAGCGCAGGTTTGGCGCCACAGGACGGTAAGTGTGGAAATGAATTACGATGTGGTCCCTACGAACATTCACATGCAAACCTCTCACATTATGTTTTATTACTGTTGTCATGATTACTTGTACTTGTAACTTAAATGCGCGCTAAAGACTCGCAAACCAGAAATTACCAAAAGTCTAGGGTAAAGATCAGATCAATCCGAATCTAGCCGTACACGCGCAGCACGAACGAACAAAGACCGTCCCAAGCGAGGGTCTGGGAATGCCAATTCGTTGACAATAAAACACGCAGTATTGCAGTTCTTGTGTGGCGGTAGTCGAAAAACGCATTTCCGCCAATCTGGACGCCCGCCGTCGCCCCAACTGGCACTTCATCCCCATCGAGGACTGGCAGAACAAACAATCACGACGCGGTCAGATCCGTTGCGGCGACTGCATCCGTGTGTAACTAGCCGGTGAAATGCATTTAAGAATGCATTTCTAAATGAAATTTGATCTTTATTTACTTTGGCCAGAATGTGTTTTAATTGGTTCTTCTCTGTTTATCCCCATCTATATACCGCCAATCGGCAGCCGTGGCTCAAGAAGCGGAGAAGCAGAAGGACGAGCTGAAGAAGCAGCGGGCCAACTACGTCAAGAAGGTAACGCTGCTGAAAAAGGAAATGAAAGTGCTTAGGGAGCAGCGTGAAGATCTGGCAGCAGGCGAAGCGCCGCCCTCTCCAACCACAAAGAATTTCATCGAAGAAAACGACCGCCTGCAGGTGAAATAAATCCCAAACGCAAAAATATTTGGTCCTACTAAGTAATGAAGCTTTGTGTAAATTATTTGCTTTGTACATAGGTTCAAATTAAGAAGAAACTAGACACAATCGAAAACGTTATTGACATGCTTAACGGCATAATTGGCTATGAAGACCTAGAAGATGAACCTTCTAAGCCCAAGCTCCACGAGAAGTCTCAGACTGAACAGCAGGGTAGCCGGTCCCACTCCTCAAGCGATAGTTCCGCTGACAGCTCGGACTCCACCTCATCGTCTAGCAGTTCGTCCGATTCATCATCCGATGGCGAGGACGAGATCGGCGGTACTGAGGGTAGTCCTACTAATCGTCTTAAGCACCGCGCCATGAAGTCGATGAAGTCAAATCAGCGACACGGTGAAACGAAGCCAGTACCAACTTCAGCACAAAATTACAACTTTGTGTTTTTCGATCCTGAACAGCATTGGTGCGAGAGTTGTGGCGTTTTTCCAAAGTCCGCACGAGACTATCTGAAGCATTTGCATGCAGAGGAACACATGAATCGCGAGACCATAGAAACTCCCTGGCATGTGGGCATTGACCACGATCCCTTTCCTACATTTGAAAACGCGCCTGCCAAACGCGTCCCTGTGCGGGGCATGCAGTTTCTGGTGCCGGCCAACGCTTGGTTCTGCAAGCTCTGCAGTGTTTGGATTGGAGACTTGCACTGCGCTTCTGCTCATCTCAAGTCCCGGCTACACTCAAACAAATATGAGGTGAGTTGTGCAATAAATTATTTTAAGCAGTAGCTCTTCTAGCAAAACCTATCGTGTTGAAATAGCAACAAAAATACCGCATTATTTCAGCCGAACGAATTCGTTAATAGGGAGTCCAGATCGGTTTGTTGCCTTATTTGGTTATTTTATCTTTAAGAATACAGTCGGACCCAAAAGTATGCGTTGCGAGGTGGTCCATAAACAAATTTAGTTTTTAACATTAAGGTAATATTTTATAAGTTTTATCAGTTTCGACACATAGGACCAAATGAACCAAACCAAAACCAAACAAGAGAGAACCCTATAGTCCGGTGGCCCGACCATCTAATACCCGTCACTCAGCTAAGGGGAGTGCGAAGAAGATTGATATATAAAGTTTTGATTGCATTATTTTTTAATGAATGGTCCGATTTGAAAAATGTCTTCTACATTTCGATAGAATATATTCTAGCTATGAACCCAAGGAACTAAATTGACAAATGACTCTTGCGCACTTAGCACCTAGTGCACCTAGCGCGTTAAAAAACAAATTTGCCTAATTTTTCGATTTTTAACGCGCTAGGTGTACGTCTGCGCAAGAGTCATTTGTCAATTTAGTTCCTTGGGTTCATAGCTACATAATCACTGAAGACTTGATAGTGAAATTTTAATCGGTTCACAAGATATGGCCGTTACAAATAAATTTTGTATGTAAAACTTTAACTCGCTATAATAGGTAAACGCGAGCTAAGCCAGAGAAACCCAAATGGGTTTTAGCTTATTTCGATGAGTTCTTTCCGCCCATGAAATCAGAATTGCGGTTACATTTTATAACCCTAAAAATGTTGCACAGTGTTAGCTTTGTCCTTATTAGCAAAAGTTAACATCAATAATTATTTTACAAACATTTCGTTGTAGCTATTTTTAAGCCAGAGTCCCAACTATGAAATCGAATGGCAGGCAAACCGTGAGCGGGCCATGAATCAACAAAAGGAGCACAATGACTCTAAGAATAAAAAGACCAAGAAAGACGAAGACAAGGCGTCAAAAAAACGCAAGAAAAAGAGGTAAGAATGGAAGGAAAATTTATAGTTCGCTATATAAAATGTTTCCTTTTTACGAACAGCGGTGAGAGAAAGAAAAAGAAGGGTAAGCATGGAAAGAAGAGCAAGCGAAGTACAGTCGACGCCAACAGCACATCGTCATCTTCTGATAGCTCTTCCTCGGAAGATGACAGGGCGCAGCAACCAAAGAAAGGGCGTACCGAGGAGCCATCAAGTGGGCCAGCCGAAAGGGCAAATGTTGCCGCGTCAATACGCGTGACCATGCGGAAACAAGAAAACCCCCAAACATCTGTTAAGTCAGAAGTACCTCTCCAATCTCTAGCTCCGCCGCCGCCTCCAATCATAAAGGATTCTATTAATGCTTCTGGTCGGGGTAAATGGACTTCTGCCAGTGGCGAAGAACTAAAGGAGGATCAAAAAAAGCGGGACGATGCCATGCTGAAGCAATGGAATACCGTTCAGCCTGTAATAAGTGAGAGTGAGAAAAAACTTTTGGAGCAGCTCAAAGGCAGGCTCAAGAATAAAGGAAGTCGAGATTCGGAGGACCGTAAAATAATACCGCATGCAGCATTCGCAAGTGAAGAGAAGTTAAAGCGAGCCGGAGGACGCCGTTCCCGATCCCGTTCCAGATCACGTTCCAAGCGGCGCAGCCACACCCGTAGCATCAGTCGCGGACGGGACCGAGATCGACGAGATCGAGAGCGTGATAGGGACCGTGGTCGCCGGCGTAGGTCGCGAAGCCGTGGCAGGCACTTTTCTCGTTCGCCCTTTAGATCCAGCCGGAGAAGTCGTTCCCGAGAAGGTCGAAGTCGTCGTAGCCGTAGTCGCTCTGCAGAGCGGATAGAACGCCCAGTCGTAAAGCATTCCGAGTTTCGGCCCCGTACGGTTCCCGAACGCAAGCAAACGGATAGTAAGCGCGACAAAAAGGATGCAGAGAGCAAGTCAAAGTCGTCAAAGCCTAGTAGCAATAGTTTACCTGGGGGAAAGAAGCTACCATTTATCGGCAAGATGCCAGTATTTAAAAAGCAGCCAGTTGCAGCTTCCAACTACGAAGCTGTTGCCGTCTACAGCAACGGTTGTTTAGAGGCACCACCTCCACCGCCTCCACCGTTGGGTGGATCAACGGCTCGTCAGCCAGCGCCGACAGCGGCACAGATTCAGATGGCTATGATGGAAGATGCCTTTGGCAATGCTCCTCCATTCCATCCTGATGCGGGTATGATGGTAGATTACGACGAGCTGATGCCAGATCCCGTCCAATTCGCCAACTTGATGACAAATTGTCCGCCTCCACCCCCCCCGGGAGAAGGCTCTGACGGGGAAGCCAATGGTCCAGAGGATAGCGAAAAGCTTGAAAACGAAATCCATGAGAAGGACGTCTTGCCTCCTGGCATTGACGAAGCCGAATCTGATCCGATATCACGATCGATAGACGCAGAGGCTCAACCACGCGACGGCGAACTGCCAAAAGACCTGGCCGAAGCCCTTGACATAATATTTCCTAGCGAAGGAGCGGCACTAGAGGCATCAAATGAAAGCAGTGGAAAAAAAAGTGAGCCTCAGACTATAACCACTATCGTTGAAGATGATGCAGTGCTTAGTGAGCATAATCTTCAAGACCTGGCCAAGCAGGGTATTCATCTCGTGACCATTGATGAGACGGAAGCGTCTAATAATTCTACAATACGAATTTCCAAAAAGGATGAGGATTCGCAGATTCTAAATGGAAAAAATGGAGCCAACTTAAAACAGATTGACGCAGAGGATATCCCAATGCCAAGTTCCCCCCCAGCCTCTCCTCCAGTCGACGATGAGATGAAAAGCAAAGCCCTCAAAAAGCAAGCAGGCATCTCAAGCATACCACAGCCGCCGGTATCGCCTTCAGACAGTGAGAAGATTCGGCGGCAGGCGGAACTCGATGAGTTAGCCATGCTTGGGATCGACAGCAGTGACATGGCGGCACAATGTATGTAGAACAGCTCTTTTGTCACTTTAATCATCACATCAAATGAATCCCATTTTTTAAACACCAACCATTTCATCAATTATAACATAGTTAATCTCTTATATTTTAAAGTTTAAATAGATTTAAAATGATTTTTTCCATACATGTATCCAAACTCATAGATGCGTTGTAAGATTTGAGTTGACTTGGCCGCAGCAGACGGCAGCAGTGACGCCGCCTACGCAGTCGGACGGATCAAATGACAAGTCGAGCCCATAAAAAATGGAAACGTTTTAGAATTTAGTTTGACCACTACGTAAGAGTGTCTATGTGACGAAATGTTTTAAATAAATGCGCATATATGTATGTAATATATTTATGATGTATTCTATTAATGGTATATTGTATAAAACCGCTTTATTTTGATCCATTCTTTAAACGCAATACAATAGTTTTTAGTAATTATATATTTACAAATATAATATATTTCTGTTCAATGAAATGGCACTTAACAAAAATAGTTAACAGCTACACTTTCTAGGTTAACTTACTACTACTACTTCACTTATCCGAGTAAAAAATATTTTCCTAATACTAGATTTTGATCATTTCATTAGGTACAAGATTTCTCAGTTTAAAGTTCTTAAAAGCAGATAATGCAATACATCTTTGTTAAAAAACTGATAACGTATTTTATGATTACCATATTCTTCATCGAATGTTAGAAACAGAACTTATTTTTAGTAAACAAATAATTTGTTCGCAATCTGAATACATAATCGAATTTAGCTCAAGTTTGAAAAATGGATTAAATTAAATAACACTAAAAAATTAATGTTTTTTATTAACCTCAATGGATTTCGAAAAATCGTATTATCTTCGAATCCCAAAGTTAAACTCTGTTTGTGAAAAAGGACCTCAAAATTGACAAAATGCTTTTTTTGGTCAACATTGAACCTATTTTAATGGCAAAGAGATTCAAAATCAAAATAATTTAAATTTCTTTACGTAAAGTTCTGCACGATAAAAATTTTATATACCCATTTCCCTCGCACCTTTAGCTGAGTAACGGGTATCTGATAGCACAGGTCGACAAAATAAGGACAGTTTTTTGGCCCAGGACTAAACTCTACAAAACCTGATAAGATTTTAGCTGTAGATTACTACCTCCTACGTGGAATTTTTTCATCACGTCACAGTTACTAATAAAAACTAAACTCTTTGTAGCTTATAGCCATAGTTTGGTGGAAATGTCACTTGGAATCTTTAACTTCAACAGTGTCTAACCGCTAAATTGGGCGCCTTCTACTTCTTGAGTTACAATGCATTTTACTAAGATCACCTTTTGTTCTTTTTTCTGTCTGTAGTATCCTGATACGATTCTAGTTTCAACAAGGAAAATATGAGGCTACTATAGATGAAAAAAGTGACAAAACTAACCTTAGTAAAATACATTGTAGCTAAAATAGTAAAGGTTGCCCAAGTAGGTGATTGGAAACTGTTGAAGTTAAAGGTTCAAAGTACCATTTCCGTAAATTGTGACTCTGGGCTACGAAGGGTTCTTGCTATTAAGCCGCAAAAATTGCCAAAAAATCGAAAACTTGGAACTTTGACCACGGTTTTCTCAAAACCAGGGACCGTAAATAATGATTATCGATGTATTTTTCAAGCAAAAAAATCATCCACTTGGAAAAGCCGTACAAACAAACGAATTATACCAATCGGCTACTATTTGTGTGCTCTATCCATATCCGCAATGATCTTTTACTTCTTGAGTTTTATACATTTTACTCCATTTTAATAATTATTTGTTGAGTTTTTTTCAATCGCTCAAAGAATAATTATTATTATTGTGAGCAAAAAAAATATCGATCAAAAAATAATGATTATTTTTTGAGCGTTATTTTTTCGCTCAAAATATCGCTTAAAGTGGGATATCTCCTTTCTCAGTAGTTTCTTTGGAAAAATGTTTTCGCAGCACTATAAAGTGAACCTCGACGACCTCACAAAACCTCATTTTTAGATTTGAAAAAAAAGTTAAAAAAATAATTTTTTATATATATGGAAGAGCGATATTTTGAGCGAAAAAATAACGCTCAAAAAATAATCATTATTTTTTAATCGATATTTTTTTCGCTCACAATAATAATAATTATTCTTTGAGCGATTGAAAAAAACTCAACAAGTAATTATTAAAATGGAGTACAATTTATAAAAATCAATAAATAATCATTAAATATTGATTTTTATTATATCACTTATAATGATTACGGTCCCTGCTCAAAACTGTGAAGTGATGGAAAGTTTCCAAGTATGAGGTAGTAATCTACAGCTAAAATCCTTTCTAGGTTTTGCAGCGATTAGTCTGGGGCTATTTGTTTGCGTACCTGCGTAGTTCTCTCTTGTTATGCTATTAATGCTTGGGTTGGACTTTCAAAATGTTTTGACATCAAATATGTAACAGAAATCTTGTCGATTGTTAAATAATTTTAAAGTTGGTCAAAAACAGAATTTTGCGTAGGGGAGCTTTTTTTAAACGGCGAATCAAAGCAAATACGATTTGAAAGCATTCATCGAGTTACATTTTTGATGTAATACAGTGTAATTAAATGAGTTGTAATTAACGCAGATTAGCTAATAAATAAGGGTTTATGTACAGGTTATTGAGTTATAAATAATTTTGAAGCGAAAGGTGCAGTGTCGTCGATATTTCCGTCGATCCGGCTGCTATAAGTGAGTGACACGCACTGGTTGTAGCTGGCATTTGGGTTTCGGGCCGGAGGCTAATAGCTAGCTCTATAAGTCTGTAACCGGACCGTCTGCCAAACTGAATTTCGTTGCTAGAGCTGCATCAGATACTGCGCCAGATAGGGTCGAGTTCCACCTTGGCTGGCCTGCCACCTGGGCGTTTAGGTCTTTAACCAATTTTTCAAGGCTATAGTAGTGCCACAGTATAAAGCCAAAAGGACCCGTCGAAAGATAAGAATAGAAATGCAAAATATTTTAGATTTTGTGATTAGTTACCACCGGGTTAAGATAGTTTTTAGTAAACATGTTGGTCAAGAGTAATGTACGAGTAAGTATTGCCTTTAAAAACAGTGCTGAGTTAGTTTGAGAACATAGAACAGAGTATAGACTACACCCACACAATTATACGTTGATTTGCCTCCTTACGTGCGGCGGCCGCTTCACTGAGCTCCCGTTTAAGCTGAGTATGCTCCTTCTTGCGCGGCAGCAGTGGCGGTGGAATTCCCGGGTTGTCTTGATCCGAAATCAGCGCAAATGTGGGTGGACTCCTAACTTTATGTTGTGGTATTTTAGGTGTCAGCGAGTGAACGGTTGAGGTTGAGGGAGTCATCTTTCCGTTGCTCGAAAAAGACTGCCTTTTGGTGCCAGTGAGCGATTGATCATCGCCCTCCTCCTCGTCCGGCTCCAGCAACTGTTCCTCTCCTATTTCGTCATCCTCTTCCAGTGAGTGCGTTGTTTGGGACGGCGTCTGATGCATCGTTCCGTAGTGCAGGTTAAAAGATTGCGCCCGTCTGACTCCGGGAGCTCCGGAGCCACCCCCACTTGGGAATGGCTTTCGGGAACCACGAGCCCTGTCATTTTCGTAGATAATATCATGATGGCTTTGCCGCTGGTTATAGCAACAGGCTAGGGCTTGACGCAGGCATTGGTTTTCGGCCTCCAGATGCGAAAGTCGTTGATTAGTCTCCTTTTTCTCCATTCGCAACTGAATTACATGCGACTATCGTGCAAAAATAAGGAACGTTAAACCTATGTCATGGACATTTAATACTGCACCCACCTTCAGATCATCAATATCTCGCAGAATACGGGCATTGCCCTCGTTTAAGGACCACTGGCGCTCCTCAACCATTGATTTGACTCTGAAAAAAACATATGCATCAACATTTCAGCATAAATATTTTATGTAAAATGTATGTATATATCTCTTAGAATTAACTTCTTACCGACTGAGGAGTGCATCTTCGCGAACGCGTGCGGCCTCTTTCACTTCTCGCACAACATCAGTCATCATTCCTGGAGTGTAGGCGCCTGGAAAAAAAGAATCGGATACAAGTGATTAGCGTCTACGATGTGTGACAAAATTAGGGGTGCCGTCTAGTTTATACCTGAATGAAAGGTGGGCGCCGGGCTGTGGGTCCCTCCCATTCCACCTCCAAATACTAGAGGTTGACTTTGGGTGCTTAATCCGCTTAAGCTATCTCTACGGTGCCGCATGCCCCCCGAGCCGACCCCCGCCCAAAGGTGGCCACTAGGAGCGTGCTTTAAAGCTTCGATATCAACTGTGAGTGTGTTTACGAGTGCAAGAGAGTACATAGAAAGAGGTAATGAGTGGCAACATATTCTAAATTATTGGATAATAGCAAGTAAGTTCGAGTACACGGGAGATTTGTGTAAATAAAACCAAGTTTCAATTGGACAGAATAAGTTTCGAAAGGCATTATCGTGACTGATGAGTAATTTAGCTAGATAAGCTAATCCTACAAACCTTTCGTTTCGTGCAAATTACGGCAGATCTTGGAATTGGTGTCGTGCAATATGTTTATTTGTTCCATTAGGGTCGCGAAAAATTTGTTTTGCTGTGCCAATTCGCAGCCACTGCCATTGTTGTTGCCATTCCGACACTCTGGGGTATTATGACCACTCAACTTTGAGTCATTATCGGAGGGGTTCAAAAGGCACGGATCGCTGAATCGAAAACTTAAATCAAGGAGATTATTAGAAAGTTAACAACGGAATGAATGATTTGACTTACCCTCTGCTGAAGTTTGGATTGCTTCCGCTTCCATCCAGCACATCTGTAGAATTCGGTTCGTGCTCTGAGCCAGCGCCTCCTGCCCCTCCCATTATGTTGACCAGTGGAGGCAAGCTAGCAAACTCCTGGCCACCATCGCCACCGTAGCCATTAAGACTCTGGGGTGGGAATAACATCGGGTATCGATGACTAAGAGAATGCGAATGCTGTACGGAGGGAAATTGCGTTGTGTTGGTGTTTTACACGAAATGCTTTCCTGCTAATAGCTGCTACTCACGCGCTGTATCCCCAAGCTGAAGGGCGTGCCAGGGCCACTACCATATGGCTGTGAACGTTTCGGAAATTCCTGCTGCTTCTGGTACTGTAGTTGCTGTTTAATCTGCTGCTGATTTTGCAGCTGCTGTTGACCTACAAACATTTGCTTGTGAGCTGCTGCTGTGGGCGGTATGAAGTCCAAAAACTCAGATGACGACGACAATTGGGCGTTGGTGGCATCCCGTAAGCAGTTTTCCAGCCAAGCATCAAGATGATCCTTGGAATAGTTAAGATCAGTTCTGTTGGCTTTAGATGAGCTAGGAAGACTAGGAGAGGCCGCCGTCGTTTCGGTTTTAGGGGCTGAAGTAGAAGCTGCTGCGTTGCGCGACTTTAGTTTTTTGCGCTTGGTGGCATCCATAGCTAAAGGAGGAAATGAGTGTTGGGATTAAACCGTAATCAAGGTTTACGACCCTAGCGTTGGAAGGTAATTAGATAGATGAGAAAAATGGCTCACAGCTTTCCATTTTCAGCTTTGACAAACTTCAAACTGCTGCAAAAACGAAAATGACTCACAACCCGAGCTTAACTATTCCACTTCGCTCAGCTCAACACATCTCGACTGAGCCAGAGTTGTCTCGGGTTTGCTAAGTAATTTCAGCTCGCAAAAATGTAGCGGGAGCCGGGGTCTTAAAACGAGTTTCTCTGCTTTGTTAGCGTTTGTTTTTTAGTTGTCAGTTTTGTTTTGGTTTCTGCTAAATAAGTGTTTGGGTTTTAAAATTTGAGCGAAATTGTTTCCTCTTGGGATAAACGGAGCTGTCACTCGATTACGATATTTTGAGGGAAGCCAAAGAAACATTGTACTCTATTGACAGATCCATATTCACTGAGGTACCTGTAAGTAACTTTGCATATTTTCGCCGTCTACAAGCCTATGTTTAAGTGTCAATACTAAGACATCGGATTTTATGCAAAATAGGATTCATAATGTTTGAGTGAAGGACAACAAAATTAAAATAAATTTGAGAACAATTTATCAGGGACCCTAACTGTTATGTATTTTATGTTAAAAATCACATTTTAACAGTTATTTTCGGATTCCTAAATTAAAACTCAAAGAATAACTGTTATTTTTTGAGTTTTATAATAAAAGTTGAGAAATAACCGTTATTCGTCGTGATCAAAAATAAAACTCAAACTTGATTTATGGCAATTTCGTGGGTAAAACAAATTTAAAAAAATATAGTTATACAATATGCACGGCTGGCTTTTTTTTTTTAAAGATTTTTAGTAAGTTATATAAAACTCGGTGAGCATGTTTTTTCAATTATTTAATTTTTTTTTAAATGTCAAGGAAATAACTGTTATACATAAAAATCAACAAATAACAGTTATTTTTTTCTTTTATTATAAAAATCAAATAAATAAAAATCATTACGGATTTGTAAACTATAATGGCTTAGAAAAATAATGGTGTATTTAAAAAAATTTTTGGACTCTTCTAAGTGCATGATGATAGCTTAGAAAAATAATTTAATTATGAAATAGTGACATTTTCCAGTTTTTATACCCTTGCAGAGAGTATTATGATTTTAGTCAGAAGTTTGCAACGCGGTGAAGGAGACGTTTCCGACCCTACAAAGTGTATATATTTGTGGTCAGCATCACTAGACGAGTTGTATTTAAGGTTCGATCATAACTTGAGTCAATCAAAGCATATGGCCGTATAAGTAAGGGGCTGTCCATATATTACGTAATCACCTAGGGGGGGGGGAGGGGTTCATTGAAATGATTATGTTTGATTACATGGGGAGGGGGGGGGTCTTGCACAATGATTACGTAATCATTTTATATACATTTTTTTATTTAAAGAATTTATTTAAAAACTTTTTTCCTTTAATTATATCTACAAACTTAGATAGGAAAGCAGAGAAAACATTTTTTTAGTGGCTGGGCGGCGAAAAAGAAAATGTTTAGTAGTTCAATCACACGAAGGACGCGAAGACCTGGAATGGCTTGACGAAGAGTATGTTGGAGATAATTTCAGCGTAGACGAACCGAATGTGTCATTTATAAACAATATATAAGATTGGGTTGCATCTCCGTTTGAATCCACAGATTAAAACAAAAAAAATTTTATTCTTGGGATTACGTAATCATTGGGGGGGGGGGTTTGTTTATTGAATGATTACGTTTGATCACCAGGGGGGGGAGGGGTTCAAAAATCACCAAAAACGTGATTACGTAATATATGGACAGCCCCTAATGCGTTCACTAGGGCGGGTCGATTTGTTTGGGGCCGAAAAATGTTATGAATCGTATAGGGGGAACGTAATCTTTTAAGGATTCTAAGCCATATTGGCGAACATACTTATGGTCTAAAATGACGTTTAAAAAAAGATGTTAGTTTATTTGTTAAGACTAAAAACGTAATACGTGCCTTTAGGCACGCAAGTCTTAGAGGGTTAAAGTATGGAGCTGTGCCATACAATCAGTAAGGTATGTTTTTTTTTTGGACCCACGGTTGATTTTATATGATTTTTTTTGTAAGATTGCGGGGGATGCGGGGGCCTTTTTGGCAGCACGTTGTTTTTGATTTTTGTATGCTTCGGCAGTTCGCAGCACTCACGATCGTCAGCAGAAGCAGAGCGAGAGAGTAGTGAGCAGAGAGAGAGTCATTTGAAGCGAAAGAGAGGCGGCCAATTTTTTTTCTGGTTTGAAAATACCTGATCAAAATTTTACTATTTGGATACCAGAACGGATTATCTAATGGATGCAATTCTAAGTCAAAGTGTGTAGCCAACCCATAGAAAGAACAAGGAATTTTTGTCTTGATTTTAAAAATATTTTGGATTGGGTTTCGAGGGGAGAGCAGGGAAAAACTTTCAGTCGTCACATTTGCATGTGAGAAACGCAAACACATCGATAAATTGGCATGTAAATAAGTATGTAATGATTAAATTAGGATAAAATAACGGATCACCCAATGCATGCAATCAAATATTTTGCAAAAATTTAAATTATATTAAAGATTTTCGTCTCCAAAATTACACCCACTGTTTTCATTCAAACGAGTTGGAGCTTTAGGTGCTTTTTTTAATTTTCCTTATTTCCGAAAATATTGTTGATCCCCAGCCGACATTGGGGCACTTCTTTTTTTGTTTACCTATCGATCCTGCGAGCGGATCCGTAAGATAAACTGTAAAAAAGAGTAAGAGTTTTTCTATGCATTCGCTTAGCTAACTAAAACTATATAATTAGGCTACCAGAACGGTGGAGTTAAGGTGGGAATAAGGTGAGGTTAGGGGTTAAGTTGCGATTAAGGAGGTATTAGATAGATTAGGGTAAAAGTAATGTAAGGGAAGGGTGAAAGTGAGAAAGGTAGGGTTCGTTTGGACTTTAGTGAGGATAAGGTTAAGGTGACAAACAAGTTTTAGGCTTAGTACTCAACCCAACAAAAAGTCGTCCAAACCCAACAAAAAGTCGTCCAAAACAAAAAACTTCATATGAAAAACAACGTCAAAAAATTTTGTTTTTGTTTTGGAAGACCTTTTGTTGGGTTGAGTACTAGCCCTTACTAAGGAAAAGTGAAGTTAAAGTAAGTAAGTATAGTAAGGAAAATTTTTTTTCAGGTGAGAAAACAGCATTAAGGTGCTAAAAAGTGTGTCAAGGGTTAGAATAAAATATGTGGCGTTAAGGTGAGGTTATATTAGGGGTAATACGGTGTTAAGGTAAGGTATGTTATGGTTAGAAGGATTAGAATATTAGTGCGTTCTAGGTGGGTTTACTGTTTAGCTAAGGTTACGCGGGATTTTACTCTGATATTAATTTGAATTTGAATATATGAAAAAATCAGCAATAAATGCTTTGCTAATAGTAGCGGACAACGTCACTTCGGGTATTGCTAGTCTTATATAAACAGATAGTTTAATTCATTGATTCCAAATTAATTCTTATTTCAGTATATTTGTTCAATGCTAGATTACGTACAACGACTTTGTATCAACCAAAATTAATTAAGTCGATTACTGAGCGTAAACTTGTTAAACATAGTAATTTGAAAGCACTAAGAGATTGCCACAAAGCAATCAATTACAATGCTATTCGTGCGGTAATTGAAAATTCGGGATTATTTTAGTATTTAAATCGAAAGACGCCAGATCAATATTTTTTTATACATTTAAAACAGCGGTTGGAAGCGTCCTATTAAAACAAATTACTTACACAAATATTAGGCAAAATGTCATTGCATGTGTGTGCCTAACACTCTTAAAATCTGAGTCAACGCGGACTTTAACAAATTTTAATTCGAGAAAAGAGCCTTTGTATTGCGTAACGAATAGTTAACCGGAAGTTTAGGGCTTTTGCTACTAACTAGATACGTATGTATTCATCTATATTTCGTTCACCTCTTTGTGTGCTGTTGAGACCCATACCGGTAATGGCATTCTTCTGGACTCCATTCTCGCTGTTGGTTACTGGCGTTAAGCAAGAGTTGTTGCCACCAATAAAAGGAGACACTTCTTCGGTGGATTCCAATGCTCCGTCGTTTGAATTCATATCCCTTTGACCTGTGGTAGTCATTTATTCGTGAAAATGTTCTTGCTGCTTCTGCAATGAAATCCAACCAAGAACTTATTACTAAAAAAGTTATTTCATTAATGGGATAGGCAGTCGATTATAAATACAACAAGAAAGAACGATCGACTATCAGATACCCGTTACTCAGCTAAAGTAAGTGCGAGTGAGATGGATATATACAATTTTGGTTCTTAATGAATGGTCCGATTTGAAAAATGTCTTCTACATTTCGATAGGTATAAATATACATAACAGAATTTATTTTCTTTTACTTCTCGGAAATCTTTAAAGGTGTGGGCGCCAGACACATTTTAAAATCATTAGTGGGCGATTGTGGGCGTTAGAGGGGGCGTGGCGCTCGGCTGAAATAAACCTGCCCTGCGTAGGAAGCCCAAGAATATGTGTGGGAAATCTCAACCTTCTAGCTTAGTAGTAGTTTCCGAGATCTCAGCGTTCATACGGACAGATGGACAGAAATACGGACTTGGCTAGATCTAATCGACTAGTGATCCTGATCAAGAATATTTATACTTCTACCTGTTACATACGTTTTCACGAATACAGTATACCCTTTTACTCTAGAGTAGCGGGTATAAGAATGTTCCTTTTGGTCTCGATCATTTATTAGAGGCCTGAAATTTATCTGGCAAGAGAGGGTTACACACACACGTTAAAAAAGAGGTAATAGTCTAGAAGAGCGGCCTGAGCACCAAAAACCGCGAAAAAATTACCCTCGATGGACCGCGATTTCTTAGGAATTTACGTGCAGAAGATTATTTGCGGAAATGCATTGTTCTCTTGTAATTGCATTTCAAAGTTGCGTGTTTTGCTATAAAAACAAAGTAGGATTTTCTAGGATTTTGAGGTGTTTTGTGTCATTTTGCTATAAAAAACATATGGGCTTTCCGTTTGTTGTCAAAATAATAAGCGTTCGAAAAAATTCGACAAAAATGTGAAATTGTTTTTATAGCAGGCCAGACCCCACAACCGCGAATTAATATCCTCGGTGGACCGTGATTCCTTAAGAGCTTGGGCGACCATGGATGACCAACATATACATTTTTAAGATGTGTCTTAAGAAATCGCAATCCGAGGAGGATCAACCTTAGTCTTTATCAGTACCTCCTTATACTTGTAACTTATTTGTAATAGTAAATAAAATGCTATATAAAACTATGGTTAATGATTGGACAGTAAATATTTATTTATAAAAAATGCTGGTTAGTGGTACAGATTAAGCCTATTCTTTTTCATTGTCCGTATCGGTGGATTCCTGAAATTTAAGATAGTTAATTGTTAGTATTTAAAAAGAGATGGGAAATGCTAAAAAAGCGCCGGAGGCAAAAAAATTAAAAAAAAAAATCGCGCGATTTTTTTTTTTTAATTTTTTTGCACCTCCAAAATGGCGTACTAATCGGTCTCTTCGCATTGAAAGACAATGTTGCGGGCTTACTGCAGTTGGGACAGTCCTTGCTCTTTAGAACAACTCCATGTCTCTGCAGAAATGCAAACACTTCTTCTTCGTCCATGGCAAGAAAGTCTTTATAAGAAATAGTGCACCCGTTGCAGGAATCCATAGTAAACAAAAATCAAAAGTGCCATTTCTGATTAAGCAACAAAAGCCTACTTGTTTTTTATAGCAAACCCATAAATTCCTAGAAAATGCTACATTGTTTTTATAGCAAAATGACACAAAACACCTCAAAATCCTACTTTGTTTTTATAGCAAAACACGCAACTTTGAAATGCAATTACAAGAGAACCATGCATTTCCGCAAATAATCTTCTGCACGTAAATTCCTAAGAAATCGCGGTCCATCGAGGGTAATTTTTTCGCGGTTTTTGGTGCTCAGGCCGCTCTTCTAGACTATTACCGTCGCACCAAGTGATGAATCTATGCAGTCGAGTTCATCCAAATAAGGCGCAAACCGGTTGCACCCCACAATACTCGCCTCTCTCACTAAAGACGGCTGTATATCGACCTTTGCATTCAACAAATTTTAAAGACATCAATAAAGCGAAACAGCGTTGTCAGTGGAGATGGCGATGGCAAAAGCAACCCCATCCATATCCAAGTCACCGGACGCGATCAATGACTAAATGCACACGCCAACAAAGAGCCGGAGGAGCGAGTCGTTTGGTTGTTGACCCGACCAGTGAACACTGGTTACGAACTCCAAACAAATATTTTTTTTAAATAGTAGATAGAACAAATGAAAATCGTTTGGAAAAGTTAGATTTACAATTTTTAAAGATAGTTGTTGAGATCTTATACAATATTAACATTTTTACTTCTTGAGTAGAGTTTTTGACAAAGTAGATGACCTCGAATTTTCAACTTTCGACTGTGGCCGTGGTGTGTGAAAGACGCTATCGAGTTTCCCAGTCTTACCCCTCCTATTCCCATTGTGTTGCAAGTGTCTGCTGCGAAATGAAAAGCGAAATGTCTCGGAATGACGTCGTTGACGTTGCCTGAACAGTTTTTGCTTAGAGTCGACTGCCTAGGGATTTAGGGATCTCTTAGTCGACGGTACCTACACTTATTTTTCAGAGCTCTTAGGAATCCAGCTTCGTGTGGCTCACTGAGCAATGTTTTCGAAGGTTAAACGCTAAACATATTATCAGAAGAATCTCAATTTGGCACACACAGCACTTATGTACACCTGCACAATGGCATTGGCCATCTAAAGTTTACATGCGTCACGCTCGGGAATTAAATTGTATTCGATTTTCATGGAGCGCGGGGTGTGGTCACGGTTAAGCATTCGCGTATTTGTTTGAAAAACAACCGATAATTAACCGCACAACGGACCAAGCAAATTCGTCAAGGTGTAGAAACCAGTGTTGCCAGATGATTATTTTGCTTTCTCCCTAAAAGATCCAGAGAAACTCTTATTCCTAAATCGATTTTTCCTTTAAAAACATCGATTGCTGCGACATGTACGCCAAATTAACGTCGACGAGTTATCAACGAAAGTGGAACGGTGAAATTTGGAACGATGGGGTCATTTTTATAAATTTTCTCGCTCAGGGGATTCCTTAAATTGTTGAGTTTTGGTCAGCTGTAAATAAGCTGTTCCATACGAAGTCAAGTTTCAGAATTTTCAGCAATTCAACAGCCTCGGGGCTGTTAAAAATTTTGTTGAATCGTTGAAAACCATAGTTGTCACATTTTTTATTAAAAGTCATGGCAACTCTGTAACATTTTAGTATCAACAGAACGCATTATTTATTTAAAAATCAACTTAGAGAGCATATTTGTGGTTCTTTTTACCTTGGTAACAATTTTAGACAGTAACTAGCAATAATACATCAAATCACATCACTTTTCAACAAAAAACAGCTGTTTGAAAATTCAACAGGAAAAATTTTGGGTCGTTCCCCTAATTCTATTGAATTTTCAACAAATCAGCAATTCAATAGTTTAGGGAATACCTGGCTATTTGGGGGCCGAATTAAAAAATGTTTGTTTACTATTCTTTGCGCCGCGTCTAAAATTTGCGTCAAGTTAGCGTCGGTGACTTTAGCGGCGATAGCGAAACGGTGGAATCTGGAACATGGGGCCAATTTTTATTTTTTATTTCTGGGGCTTCTGGGGACCAAATCGAACAATTTAAAATGCAAAATTGTTTAGAATGAAATTATCTATCGATCCATGTAATTCGCGAGTCTGAACAATTTTTGAAAAAATGAAAAAAATGCATTCGAAAAATCAGGTCCCCACGTTTTGGAGAATATCTCCACTCACAGAGCGTGCTTCACAATGCGTGCTGGCTTAGCTTACAGGTCGTCCTTTGAAGGACATATGAGGAAAATTGTATCAAAAAATGATCGTCAGTTTTTGAGAAAATCAGTTAGCAGTGGACCAACCTCTGAATCCGCCCATATCAATGAAAAGGTAATAAAATAAGCTTTATTTCTGCATTGCTATACATATGTTTTCTTTTTTAAATTTTAAAGCTTATATTCACGATAAAAGTAAAAAAAAATAATTTTAATGTGATCTACTGTAAATATTTCGTTTTATTACACCCGTTACTCGTGCAAAAGTATGTAACAGCTAAAAGGAAGCGTTTCCGACCACATAAAGTATATATATTCTTGATCAGGATCACTAGCCGTGTCCGTCTGACTATCTGGATGAACGCCGGGATCTTGGAAACTACAAAAGCTAGAAAGTTGAGATTTCCCACACATATTCTTGGGCTTCCTACGCAGCGCAAGTTTATTTCAGCCGAGCGCCACGCCCCCTCTAACGCCCACAATCGCTCACTAACAATTTTTAAATGTGTCTGGCGCCCACAATTTGTATCTGGATTCAGTACCTGAAAATTTCTGTGATAATAGTTTTAGATTTGTTTGTGTTAATCAGTACGAAGTTCTTGTCAATATTCTTAAAATTAAATCAGACGCAATTGGACTAGACGAAATGAATCCTAAATTCATTAAATTAATACTTCCCAAAATTCTTACATACATAACTCACATTTTTAACACTGCATTTACAACATCCGCATTTCCTGACTGTTGGAAAATCGCAAAAATTATACCAATTATGAAAGCCAACAAGGAATATAGACCTATATCAATTCTACCGTTCTTATCGAAAGCCTTTGAGAACATTATGGCAGCCCAAATAAACGCATATATAGGTGATAATGCTCTACTTAACAACAACCAATCGGGATTCAGAATAAAACGTAGCTGCACCTCGGCAATCCTAAAAATTTCGGAGGATATACGTAAACATGCAGACAAATCCAACGTGACGCTTCTAGTACTTCTTGACTATAGTAAAGCTTTTGACTCTGTTAATCATGATGTTTTGTGTTCAAAATTGAAAACTCAGTTCAATTTTTCAACCACTTCTGTCAAACTTATGACCTCGTACCTAAAAAATCGCCGGCAGTCTGTAGTAATATCTAATGTTTCGTCTTCTCTTGTAGTCCTTAAACGTGGTGTGCCTCAAGGCTCAGTTCTTGGTCCTTTACTGTTTACTCTATATGTCAATGACCTTCCCTGTGTGTTGTCAAATAGTGATGTTCACATGTACGCCGATGATGTCCAGATGTATGTTAGCCGCCCCATTAGTAGAATTAACGAGTGTGTGAATATTTGTAATCGAGAGCTTGATAAAATTAGCAGCTGGGCCAAAGACAATGGCCTTGGTCTAAACCCAACAAAATCTAAATGTCTCGTAATTTATAAAAAGAAAGTAAATATTGTTGACCTGCAGCCATTGTTGATAAACAGCATGCCCATTAAATATGTTGAAAATGCTACAAACTTGGGTATCATATTCAATCACTATGGACGGCAGTCCATGTAGTGACGAAGCGCACCAGGAGAGTGTGCGAAGGCGACTACTATTATATAGCCGCAAAATTGAAAATCTGCTGTGATAGTCCGACCGTAATGAGTAATACACCAATCGAAAGGTATTGCAAAAACTTAAAGGATTGCATACCAAGACTTTAAGAAAATCAATTGGCTTGGGAGAGAGAGCGGTGAAAGTGAAAAAGTGAAAATTTGCCAGCCTAAGTAAAATTTCAAAATATTAGTTCCTAATTATACCCGTTACTCGTAGAGTAAAAGGGTATACTAGATTCGTGCAAAAGTATGTAACAGCTAGAAGGAAGCGTTTCCGACCCCATAAAGTATATATATTCTTGATCAGGGTCACTAGCCGAGTAGATCTAGCCATGTCCGTCTGTCCGTCTGTCCGTCTGTCTGTCTGTCCGTCTGTATGAACGCTGAGATCTCAGAAACAACAAAAGCTAGAAGGTTGAGATTTCCCACACATATTCTTTGGCTTCCTGCGCAGCGCAAGTTTATTTTAGCCGAGCGCCACGCCCCCTCTAACGCCCACAATCGCTCACTAACAATTTTTAAATGTGTCTGGCGCCCACACCTTTAAAGATTTCCGAGAAGAAAAAATGCAATGTTGTTGTGTATATTTATACCTTTCGAAATGTAGAAGACATTTTTCAAATCGGACCATTCATTAAAAAGTCATACGCAATCAAAAAAATGTTATACATCCACCTCCCTCGCACTCTCTTTAGCCGAGTGACGGGTATTAGATAGTCGGGACACCAACCCGACTATAGCGTTCTGTCTTGTTTTTATTTATTTTTAAGATACATCTTTTTTCTAAACTAAGATTTTGTATACTTGTATTTCGAACCAAATTGAAGATAAAGTCTAGAGATTTGTGCGTGTGTGTGCGTGAAAATAAGTCTCGTCCCTCTCAAATATAATAATCAACAGTTGTTACTGCGATGCAACTGTCAAAACAGAGCTTTTGTAAACGCTTTATGTAGACATTCTGGGGGTAGAGGGATTGAGCTTTTAAGTGCTAGCCTCGAGGGAATTTTTCCATCCAGTATAAGGGCAACTCATCTGAACGCAGTTGAAATAAATCACGAGTCCTAGCCCGTTTATTATCTTATTTATAAAACGCCCGCTGTCCGCTTCGCAAGACTTAAAAAATAGTCAGACGAATTCACGAATACGAAAGGGATTGTTAGAATATTGGAATTTACCCTTTTTTTAAATTTGTTAAACAATTTGGCAAAGTTGAGTCTCAAAAATCGGTTTCGTGAATACGTTGAAACAAATAAAACGGCTTTTGGACTCCACGGTTCCCAAACGACTTATATGCTTTGATCCCCAGCCGTCGTCCTGTGAAAAATCGATTCCAGTTATCCTGTGCCACTGAGCTGTCATATTCCCGAGCTTTGGCCTTACATTGAAGTGAATGGAGAAATCTTGTGCGACAAGCCGTTTGGTCCTGGTGCAATGAATTTAAAGTAAAGGACCTTGTTTTCGGCGGGATTCTCGCATGAGCCAAAATGATTGTTACATCCGCTTCTGGCCTGGATAGCACTCCGACGTTGGGTACGTACATATACGGACCCCAATCCCCCAACTGACCTGACCTGTCGATCAAATCCATCAGGCACAGTCGAGGTGACTACGCTGCTGGGCGCCTTTTTCGGCGTCCTCGTTCTGCTGCTCCTACTGTTCCTGTACATTAGTCGAAAGTGCTGCTTCCACTACCGCCATGCCATCAACTGCTGCGACGAGCGGCACTTGGCGGCCAAGTGCGTGCAGAAGATCAGTAAGTACCAGGGACTTGGCGGGACTTAAACGTATCCTAGAAGCCCTGACCCGAGCTGACCTCATTCTGTTTTTCCAGCACGGAAGCGGCGCTACGAGAACACCAGTTCCGACTCGGAAGAGGACATCCTACGGCGCCTGCGGTGGCACCAGCAGCACCAGCTGGCCGAGAAGCCAGGCGGCTACGGGCTGGGGATCAGTCAAGCTAATCCGCTGACGGCACAGAGTTTCAAGTATCACCAGACCGGAGCTGACCTGCAGCGGGTGACGGTGACGCGTGACCCCTTGGCCATCGCCGAGCGCGGCAAGGTCGGTATCCCGTCGTCGCACAGCGAGTGCAGCTCGAACGACTCCATGGAGGCCTCAGTGGACAGTCATACCGGCATCCTGACGGGCGTGAGCAAAGGTGAGGCACCCGGGGTCAGGGGCAGCTAATTGACAGGCGTCGCAATGAATCTCGACTTCTTGACAGCCACAACCCATCACCCGGCGACATCTTTCCGCAATCCGTGTGCAGAACACCGAGCCAAGACGCAGGCTCTGAGGTACCAACACAGAGTGGAGGTCGCTGCTCCTCCACCCAAGATAGAAAAGGAGCGGGACAATGTCATAGTGGTGCCAATGTCCAGTACCTACAGTTCCAGCAACAACAACAACTCGAGTGCTACCAGTAACAACAATACCAGCAGCAACAACAACGATGACGTAAGTGGTATTCAATTCAGCGTATCCCCAGCAAATATCATCGTATCAAAATAAGCATCTCAGTGAAACACATTCAACTAAGCAAGAAAATTATCGTTAAGGCCACAATTACTTAGTTTTGGACTAAGTGACTGGATTTATTTAAAAGTCATGGCAACCTTTTTACCTTTTACACATAGAGTAAAATGGTATATTTAATGCGTCGGAAAGTATGTAACAGGGATAAGGAAGCGTTTTTGACCCTATAAAGTATATCTATTCTTGATGAGGCTAACTATCCAAGTCGATCTAGCCATGTCCGTCTGTCTGTCTGAGCAAATGCCTTGCTTGTGAAAATGCCCTCTCCGATTAGGCGCTACTTGCGGGTGTGGCCAGAACTTTTTGAGGCAGTTTATATAGGGACGGAAATTGCGATTTTCTGCTTTCCCACCACTTCAAAACATTAAATTCGCTAGTATATGGAACTTCCATATTTATGTATAGATTAATTTCATTATTGATTCTATCCTGTTTATAAAATGTGTTCTAAATCTTCTTCTAAGTCTTCAACGAGAGCATTGTTGCTATTATCTAGGTACTGCTTCATCATTTCCTTACAGATTTCCATTTTCTCCTTTTAGTCCTGTTCGCTGAATTTTATCATTTGTTTTTTGAAGGAAACAAAAAATGGGCCAACTTGTGAAATTTTGTAATGTATTGTCCAAAGCATGCTTCAAAAATGTTTTGATTTTTTCAGCGATTTCTGTAGTTGTTGCGTTGTCGTCACAAGATTTAGTTTACCAACATATGGTATTACGAAATGCAGAGTAGGGTATAATACTCCCTTAAGAACCGTAGATGTTTTTTCAAAGGGCTTTGAAACTTTAACTATAATCCTCCATAATCCTCTCAAATTCATTTTTCCGGACTAAAAAAGAGGATCAAGGACTCGTGGTATTTTTTTTCGTACACATCATACATTGTTCTTCGATCTGCATTTAAATGTTTCGCTTTCATAAACAACAACAACGCTACAAGTTTTCAAATAATAAGTGTGTTGGTGTCGTATAATTTTGAAACACACCTTACACACAAAAAAAAGCACGTCGCCGTAAAATCGATAAGTCCATGTAATTTTCTGGTTATTCCTACTCATATCGTTTTTACCTGAAATATTCATAAAATTTACATTAAATAATATCATTTTGCCGAATTCTCTCTCTCGGAGATTCTCTAACTTCGAAAAAGAGCGCAAGAATCAATATGGCGAGCAAAATGACATGAGTGGAAGCGAGAAAGACGTATTCGAAACTCGAACTAACGAACTTCAAGCATGTTTCCTCGCTCGCACTAGAATAAGTTTTGGTCAGGAATAATGAAAATGTTCGTTCTTACATTTTCGACCATATCACATTTACCTGGCCCCATATCAAGTTAAAAATGATCTTAAAAAAGGTCAAATTGACCTACGATTCGTATCGATTTTTTTTGGGTGTATAAGTATTTACTTCTTTAGCAAGGGTATATAAGCTTCAGTTGGCCGAATCTAGCTTCCTTTCTTGTTTATAGTAAATTAGGCCAAAAGTTTCTTTAAACGTGACCAAACGTAACCATTTTTTTTTTAATTCTTGAGATATGTACCTAAGTCCCCATCAAGGGGTTCCGTGCCCTGTTCTGCCCCAAGACAGTTATTTTAATTCAAAGTTGCACGGTATTTCACACAAAATTCGTTTTTTTTGTTGAATGTCAGGTGTTGGTAAGCGGTTTTGGTCAGTTGTTTGGATCAGCTGTGTCGCTCATCTGCTTTAGCCAGTTGTTTCGGTCAGATATTTTTGGAACTTTTAATACACAATTTTTGGTACTGTACACTGTCAAAGAAGCTCAAGAAACTAGGAAAAAGGACTTCAAAAAGTATAGAGAGTGTTTTTCGAGGAAAATTAATAGAGGAGCAACCAGGACAATCTCTGACAGCTCTGATCCAATAATAACAAGACAGAACGCTATAGTCGAATGCCCCGACTATCAGATACCCGTTACTCAGCTAAAAGGAGTGCGAAGGAGATAAAAACTTTGATCCGCCGTAACTTTTTAACGAATGGTCCGATTTAAAAAATTTCTTCTACATTTCGATAGGTATTCATAAACACAATAAAACTGCATTGCAGCTTTTATAGTTTGCGAGATCTCAGCGTTCATACGGACAGACAGACAGACGGCCATGGCTATAACGACTCGGCTTGTGACCCTGATCAAGAATATATATACTTTATAGGGTCGGAAATGCTTCCTTCTAGCTGTTACATACTTTTGCACGAATACAATCGCCCCTGTTCTAGTTTTCACTTCCGAAAGATTCACACGGAATCGAATTTCCCAGACCTGTTCCAGGACTCACTTCCGAAAGAACTGCAAGGATTCAAATATCCCTCGTTGTTACTCGGGTAACTTCCGGAAAATTCACATGGAAACTTTCCGCCAAGCATTTGATAGGCGGTCTTAAATCAGCCAGCATGAAATCAAATTCACTTCCGAGTGAAAACTGGAACAGGTCGGTATATACCCTTTTACTCTACGAGTAACGGGTATATCAAGTAATCGGAATTAGCAAAAAAAAAACACACCTTTTGGAAGAAAAGCAGCCGGTAGTAAAAGCGACCAGAGCGATAGCGAAGGCGAAACTGAGATAAAATCGGATATATGCTTATATTATTTAAATCATTTATTTTCTTTTAAAAGTATGGATTTCATTAATTTTCGTCAATTCTAGTTTTATCTTTTTTAGCTTCGTAAAGGTCTTTGATATTTCTTCAGATTGTTGTGGGATAAGCCATGCCGAACCATGCCGCACTCCAACGAAAATTTCTGCCAGCCCTTCAGTTTTTCAGGGTCCATTTCGTCATGGCTATGGTAATTTTTGATTTCGTTTCTGCATCTAAAGAAGTGGCTGCAGGTACATCAAAGGAGGGCACTTATGTCTCATAAGATTTGATGTATTCCCGAAATACTTCATGCAAGATAGGCAAGTGCGACTCGCAACTAATCCACTGACCTCTTGCTTGCTATGGTCTAAAATCATATCCAGATGATTTGAAACAGATATACAGTTGACATAAGGGATTCATACAGGGCTCTATTATGTATGTATTTGTATGTATTTGTATTTTTTTTGTATGTGGACAGTACCACATTGATTGCAAAGCCCCTTGGTTCCAATATTTTACCTCTTACCTATTTTGCCAGTGGTACCACTCTTTCGCAGTATATTCGCGTTGAAAAGAAAACACAAAATCATTTTTATCCTGCGAACGGAAGACACAATTGGCATGGTTCAAAAACCGAAAAATGTGTCTTTGGCCAATTACGAGAAAAAAATGGATTTTATTATACCGTAGATGACCAAGCGATAGTGTTTTTAAAGTCTGCAAAAATATAAATAAAAAAATATAAATATAAATAAATAAAAATATAAAAATCATTTATTTACTATTTGGCTACAATTCAATTTTGAAAAGTCAACATTAAAAATCTTTAGGGGAGAATAAATCTACCACATATATATGATGGACGTTGATGCACTACGAGAAGTACAAACAAGTGGCCCAACGACACCAAGCACGTGCTTGTTACGCGCAGGGCCCTTTTGTAAATTTGGGGAAAAAATGCGAGTTCGCGAGGAAGAATACATAAAACCAATAAAGACGGGACAAAATAATGAAAAAACAAGAGAGAACGCTATAGTCGGGTTGGTGTCCCGACTATCTAATACCCGTCACTCAGCTAAAGGGATTGCGAACGCTGTACTCGGGTTGGTGTCCCGACTAATAATCGTAACTCAGCAAAGGGAGTGCGAGGGAGATAGATATATAAATTTTGATTGCGTATAACTTTTTAATGAATGGTCCGATTTGAAAAATGTCTTCTTCATTTCGATATGTATAAATATACACAACAAAAGTGCATTTATACTTCTCGGAAATCTTTAAAGATGTGGGCGCAGGACCCATTTTAAAATCGTTAGTGAGCGATTGTGGGCGTTAGAGGGGGCGTGGCGCTCGGCTAAAATAAACTTGCGCTGCGTAGGAAGCCAAAGAATATGTGTGGGAAATCTCAACCTTCTAGCTTTTGTAGTTTCTGAGATCTCAGCGTTCATACAGACAGACAGACGGACAGACGGACATGGCTAGATCGACTCGGCTAGTGCCCCTGATCAAGAATATATATACTTTATGGGGTCGGAAACGCTTCCTTCTAGCTGTTACATACTTTTGCACGAATCTAATATACCCTTTTACTCTACGAGTAACGGGTATAAACATGCAGTTAGGAGTGAAGCAAATGAGTTAAAATGTTAGTTTTTAATACCGGGATAGAAGTTGATGTGCAAATTAAATGATAAAGAACGTTATAGTTATTACGTAGAACGCGAAAGGGCTCGTGCAGACCAAAATTTGATGTACATCGAGGTAAATTAAGAGGATGATAATTACGTGTTAGTCTAACGGGAACATTAAAAGTTATTCTACAGAATCAATATCACCTCTTATAAGATTACGCATAAAAATGGTACCAAGCATTTTTCTACGATTTGCAAGTGTCGGTAAATTAAGCAATAATAATCTACTCTGGTAGGAAGGTAGCCTTACGTTTTGATCCCAGTTCAAACTACGAAGGGCAAAAAGGAGAAATTTTTTTTGTACCAACTCTATACGGTCAATGTGGACTTGGTATTGTGGGCTCCAAACCGAAGAACAATATTCCAATATAGGACGGACAAGGGAGGTAAATAATAATTTGGTTATATAAGGGTCATCAAATTCTTTTGACCAACGCTTTATAAACCCAAGAACACTCATAGCTTTATTGACTGTCGACATTATGTGGCAGTCAAATTTAAGCTTCGGGTCCAGAAGAACGCCTAAATCATTTACTGAATATATACGGTCAAGTGGCAGATTCTGAAGCGAATAACTTATAAAGGTAGGGGTAACCCTATAAAAGGTCATTACGTTGCATTTTAGGCA